TAATATATTTCGCCTTCCCTTAACGTCGTTTTTATTTGTCCAGTAGTTTCCCACATGTATTTGACACGTAGCATTCAATTTGTTTTTATTTGAATGAATTTAATTTAATGCAATGTAACAGTTAATATCGATATATTGTCCTTTGTTTTATATAACGAAATTTTTTGTGTATGCATGTTAAGTGTTGCAATTTTGATCGATTCCTCAATTATTATAAGTTAGTACTTTGTTGATTGTAACATGTTATGTATACCGAATAAATAAAATAATAAAAAAAACGGTTCATCCCAATAGAGGTCTAAATCTAATAGGGTTGCATATGAATATCATCTAGGACCAAAGTACTCATCAAGAACTAATCAAACGAGTCTAAACTCAATGCGCTTATATAGTTTTATTTCCAAAATCCTATTGCCACCTTCCAGCGTCATCATCAGACCCTGTTTACCATATAGGACCAAAGTACTCGGCAAGACGAATCACACGAGCCCAAAATCGATGGCATTATGTCGTTTTATAACGCAGTTCCTAATGCCAACTTTCAGCTTCACCATCAGACCCTGGATATTATTAAAACACAAAGTACTCGTCAATAATAATCAAATGAGCTCAAACTTGATGGAGTTGCATCGATTCATTATAGAGTTCTTATCGCCACCTTCTAGCTCCATCATCAGACCCTGGATACCATCCAGAGACAAAGTGCTTGTCAAGACAAATCAAACGAGCCCAAACTCGATGGCGTTATGTCGTTATATAACGGAGTTCCTATGGCCACCTTACAACTCCATCATCAGAACAGCTACATGGTACCATATTATTGCATTGTAACCAGGCTTAGATAAGTTTGCCAAATTTCAGCTAAATCGGATAACAAGAAGTGGTCGAGAAATGGTTTACAAATTTTGAAGATACATATTATATACGAACGATGCAACTGCAAGTTAAATAAAAGCTTGTATTAAGTAAGAAATAGACAGGACAGATAGGGTGGAGCTTAATTTTTTTTATACACATACCATATAGCCTACCCCCAAAGTAAATGCCATGTGGTATTGGAGCCTTGAGGAACGGATTGAATACATATACTGAAACGGACATAATTATATTTTATCTAAACATCCATCGTATATACTCGTATTGTTCATTCTAACATTTGCCACCGGGATTCGAACTCGGGAGACCTCCGGCGTATATACCACTCGGCCACGGAGATCGCCAATAAGTGTTTCTAGATTTTACATATTACAGTAGGTAATGTACCACCGTAAATAATTTAAGTACCACATTCTACTGGAATGTTTTAAAAATAAAATGAAGACGTTACAAAATGACTTGTGAATTCAACATCATCAATAAAATTAACATTTGAGCAGCAAGTTGGCCGCCTTCGATCCATCAATGTGTCTCTTGCTGTCACTGCAAGTATGACAGCATACAAATATCGGACAAATGTAACAAACCGCACCGCTGCGGCTTTGTTGGAAATAGTTTGCTGATATATTTTTAAATATTCCCGAGAGCATGATAAAAGACTGGCGTAAAAGTAAACAGGATAAAGGTCTGTTCATATAATATAGCACCAATGCTATTTTATTTATAACTATAGATATGTTACGCTCATATTAATTGCGCTTAATATTATAAATATGAAAGTTTGTTACTCAATCGCGCAAAAAACTACTGAACGGATTTACATGAAATTTGGTGAGTTTATGACCTGGATTGAGACATAGGATACTTTTTATCCCCGAAAAGTGTCAGGTTATTAAGGGAATTAAAAAAAACTGAAGTTAACGCGGACGAACTCGCGGGCGGCAGCTAGTTTTAAATAACGAACGTCTTATTTTATCGCTAGAATTCAAGAGCTACGCTGCATTTTTATAACATACCTAGACAGAGCAACGAAAGAGGCTATGTTGACTACCTAGGCGATATACCAGCTCTCCGTGTTCCATGAAAAGAAAGATTTACAAATATCTAAAATAGTAAGACCCATAGCCTACCTACAGTCGCGGGGTACCTAACCTCCTACGTAACATACTACGCCAATAGCACTATGTACACGACGCTGGCATTGGTTTTCTGGAGTGTGCATGTTGTTGTTCGCAGATGAATGATTTTTACAGCGCGACCGGGTTAGGGGAGACGAGATCCTTGATCTAAGGGGATCTGAAGCCGGGAAATAACAAGTACCTCTAGTGGTTTTCTAGAAAGATGGCATCTTCCCTTGGGGAGTCTCCATTCCGCCGTATTTTCTAGACCACTCGAGCATCGGCTCTAGAGGACGTTTCTGAAACTCGCACCAAATACCTTAACCCCGTCACCCTGTGGCTCTTTGGAAAAAGAATGGATGTCAGCAAGTGGAATAGGGTTCAAGGCAGCCTTCAAGATGGGGGTGCTGTGCATTCCATTCGCGATTAGATAACACGTACAAAATAGGTGGAGTGGCCCACTCCAATAAGGTAAAATTAGTAACGACATTTACAAGTTATACAAAAGTTATGTATCGAAATCATACGCAAGCACTGTTACTTAAAATTGGTGGGAACTTCTGTTCATACGGCAGAATGTAAACTTCTTTATTTTTGTTGTGTTCATCATGGTATTTCATCATCATCAATATGCATATTTGTATAGATGTACCTACCGCTGGGCATTGAAGACACCTCAATTTATTAACGTTTGCCCAACAAAAGCGAACAAAACGAGCTAGTTTCAAAACATTTCCTTTATTCTGTTAATAAAGCAAATCACGATCGACCCCCCCTTAATGGCCACACATAAATAACTATAGTTATCATTTTTCAATGTTCTGCTTTCATCAGAGATAGGATTCCCGAGGTTGGGATTAAGCACTCTTTATGTGGCTACCGCACACGAACGCACGCTCGCGAAACTCATTCATCAGGCGAGATTGATTGCAACTGTCAAAACGGTAATGGCGGCGAGTGGTGGCCATATTGGGACCGATGAATGCACCTAAGCCAATATTAATGCTCGTTATTGATGAGCCACCCAACCTAAGTTCACGGTTACTTATTAGAGGTACAATTTATTAAACATTGTATACGTGTTTAGAAAGATCTAAATGAGCTCGCTATAAACGCTCGTTAGCGACCAAACTAGATACAGACGAGCACACAACCTTTAGCAAATTTCTAATCATATTCATACTCAGAGTCTCACTTCAAAGACGTCAAGTAAATTTAATACTTGCCAGTGACTTTCTTTTGCTTCAAGAAACCGGAGACAAAGCATAATAAGTCTCTACAATAATGGCGTAATTACACTATTCACTTCCGTGTTTCAATTTGCATTCAAATTCATTGCTTCATTAAGCAACCAAATTGACAATGTAAACGTAAAAGGGATTCATTAAATTTGGTTGCTTCAACCAAATTGAAAGCGAAAGACAGAAGTTTATCATGTAAAATCACCATGATCTCGCAGAAAGGAAAAAAAAAACTTTTATTTAACAGTCATAATATAACAAATGTTTTACTATAAACATAACAAAAAAATATTTGTTAACAACGTGAAGGGGCGAGATTCGAGTTAACTACATGAACGCGGAATGCTCTCGATTGTACCCGGGTTGACTCTGTCGAATGGAACGTAGAGATGATGTCGGTAATAAATCTTTAATTGAATCCGCATCGCCTATTCAATCCCCGTAAATGTTTGACTTCATGAATAACACACACTGTTTTGACTTACATGAGCTGCGGAGGTACCGTGATTTCTTCTAGCAACCTGATAGTCACAAAAATACTTTCGTTGCTGCTGATAATGCGTGGTTCGATTGGAGTGCGTTATATGTGCGCCATTTGTAAACGAATGTGTAAGTTGCTACTCTACAATTTCGATAAGCCACAAATTAATTAATTTCAGGGGCCATTGCGAAACTTGCTAAACTTCCACGATCGCATTTTCCGAACGCAGAGGTTTAAGACATATGGATGGGCATAGCGGATTTTGCGCTCGAATTGTAGCACCCGCCTGGGGAAGTAAGTACCTTACAGAAGATCACAGTAAAATAACAATACATTTTGGTGGTGTTGTGTTTCTGTCGGTAAACAAAGTTCTAGGGCTCCACGGGGTAGGGGAGTAGGTTAGGGTAGGCAACAGCGTGAGTGATATTGTTTTTATAGCAAGCGTAAAAAAGGCTATGTGGCCGCTTACCATCGGCGCGTGCTCGTTTCTGAACCGAATCTGAACAGATTCTTTACCGAGTGCATGTAATTAAATGAGAGCTTCCTTACCGAGTCGTTTCGGTACAGATTCTTTACCGAGCGCCTACACACCTCTCTGTAGTGTGATGGTATAGTTCTACCGAACCATACGACTCGCCCGCCCGATGTAAAGGAATTATAACAAATGCCAATCACCGTAGCAAACAAAACATAATGAAACTGCACCGAAACGGAGCCGGTCGTGAAGTGGTTCTTGGTGAAGAATGTGTACAGATTCGGTACAGAAACGAAAATGAAACGCCTTACATTGATTTATTGAAGTAAAACTTCTTTAGGCATGCTTGACTTGGGGGTAAACTGGCAAACGACGATTAGTATCATCGGTGACTCATCGGTAAACAAAGAACAATACCCGTCACAAAATACACGAGTCTAGTGCTTGGTGGGTCATAACGGACCCAGCGCGGATTGAAGGGTGATAATGCATCCAGCGCGGATTGGTGGGTGATAATGGACCCAGCGCGGATTGGTGGGTGATAACGGACCCAGCGCGGACTGGTGGGTGATAATGGACCCAGTGCGTATTGGAGGGTGATAACGGACCCAACGCGGATTGGTGGGTGATAACGGAACCAGTGCGGATTGGTGGGTGATAACGGACCCAGCGTGGATTGGTGGTTTTTTTCTATTAACAAATCTTCAGGTTAAGTTTATGTTTTTCAGATCATTAAAGCTAAAAAAGGTACACTTCAGTCGTGTGGTCATAAGCACACTTTTTTATTAAACATCTTTTATGGTCTTATTTTATATTCTACGGCAAGATAGAATACCAAAAAAAAAACAATTTTGGTTGCATTACTCTTTAAGGAACTTAATGACAATGAAAATCTGTATACAGTATTGGACAACTTTATTATTAGGTACTAATATAAAAAATCGCAACTTTGACACAATTGGATCAACATGCGAAAGTACCTAACCATACCAATAATACCTAATACATACATACGAAATAATGCATACCCATTTTACATGTACTTACAAAATCTCGTCACATAAGTAACATTTTTTACACTTTACGATTAAACATTTTTTCTGCATCGCTAATATAAATAGATATCCATTCGACAATATTCATCTATGTATTTACATTTTATTACCTAATCTATAAAATAATAAAACAGTCCATTGTGGTAAAATCCCACAATCTAATAACTACTCAGAACGAGGTATAAGATATGAAAATAAATAAATAGATTGTAAGTAAGAAATTTAGATTTAGAAATAGGTGTTACGCGTAAATTCGTCAGAAGGTAACATACAACTATACAACATTATTTAACATTAATTATTATTATCACAATGAGATTTTAATATAACCATCATAATGACGATACAACTGTTATAAAATAGTTCATTTTTCCTCTGGCGGTGTAAATAATTATTTAAAGCAGTATCTTGTTCTTTCGTTACCTGTAAAACAAATAAAATATACATCGTTATAGTTACTTATGATATAAGTGCGGTAAGTTGGTTATTACATACGAGTAGACGAATGTAAGCTGGAGACGAAGTCGAGGGCTGACCATAGTCACGAGTTTGTAAATACCAATTCCGCACGCATGTCATACAACGTTTTTCAACACATTTGCGATAAAAAAGTATAAAGTAACAAAGCAAACTTTTTCTAATGAGAATATGGCGCGAATTTCTAAATGTGTGGGTGATTTCTTCTTTTTCCTTTTTTTATGCACGGTTTGTGCGTTCAGCCAATGTCAAGTAAAAGTGCGGGTGGTTAAAATGAGAACTACATCTATCGTCTCTTTTTCTTTTTTTCTACTGAAGTGAGAAAAAGGTATACCTATAGATTAAAAGCGATTCCAAGGTGGTTCGATCGAAATTAAAAAAAAAAACGTAAAGGATGCGCACGGCGTCATGTATGGGAGCGTGCGGTAAAATGCTTGACCGCAAGCTCCGTTGTATGGCCCGTAATTTTGAACTTTCGAACAATGTATACAACTTCTGTAAATGCATTTTTTAAGCAAATTTGTTGCATAATAAATTTATAAACTATACATTCCAACAGGTTTTTGAGATGTTACCATGATGATAAACCATGACAATAAATTAAAATGGATTTTTTTTATGTGACACCAGTGACATCCTGCTAACAGAAGCATTCTTTTTTTTTATCAGTTGAAAGAAAGGAAAACTGGTAATCTGCCATAAGAGTAAAAGAGGTAGCCGTTTATCTGTTACTTGATCTCTGATGCTCCCTCTATGACTTTAGTTATTATTTTAAGGAAATAAATCATGATTGTATTGACGTTGTAAAAACATCACGATGATCAGCCTATTAATGTCCCCACTGCTGGGGTACAAGCCTTCTCTATCGATGGAATATGAGTATGTTTGTACATATAATATGTAATTGTTCATGTGTTAGTCTTAAATCACTGTTACAGTCAAATATATGAAATCATAATTTCAATAGCCTCGGGTTTAATTTATAGCCAAAAATATAGACCTAGTTTAATAACCAAATAACAGTCTTTACATCAAGTGGAGAGCTAATTTACTATGATTCATTCTTAAAAAAAAAACTTATATTTATATAGATATTTGACATAAAATTCAGAATAAACACAAAACACTGGCACATTCTGCATATTCTAAAGAAATATTTTGAACCTTAAATAACCATTGAGATAAAATTCTGTATATGAGCAGTATTAAATATACTGGTTGATAACACTGACCGATTCTGAACCTTAACAGGTTTAATATAAAGATCAATATATTTTCTACAGCGTTGATTTGTGGCGTCTAGCTGAGTTCGAAGCCGGCGCCCACTTGTATGGCGTTCATAAGCTTCTCGGTTATGAATTCTTCGTTGGCGAACGTTGATAACACTGAATGATTTTGAACCTTAACACGTTCACATAAAGATCAATGTTTTATACCGTTGATTTGTGTTGTCTAGCTGAGCTCGAAGCCAGCGTCCACTTGTATTGCGTACTGAAGCTTTTCGGCTTTGAGGTCTTCGTTCCATACCTTAACATAATACAAATTAAGATCAAATATTGTTTCCATACCGTTGATTCGTTGTCTGTCTGAGCTCGAAGCCGGCGCCTGCTTGTATGGCCGTACAGAAGCTTCTCGGCCGTGAGGTCTTCGTTGGCGAACGTTGATAACACTGAATGATTTTGAACTTTAAAACGTTCAAATAAAGATCAATGTTTCATACCGTTGATTTGTGTTGTCTAGCTGAGCTCGAAGCCAGCGTCCACTTGTATAGCGTACTTAAGCTTCTCGGCTATGAGGTCTTCGTTCTGAACCTTAAATTAATAGAAATAAAGATCAAATATTGTTTCATACCGTTGATTTGTGTTGTCTAGCTGAGCTCGAAGCCGGCACCCGCTTGTATGGCGTACAGAAGCTTCTCTGCCATGAGGTCTTCGTTGGCGAATTCTGGTAGCTTTAGAAGATTCATACAGGTGGAAGCGGAGGGTAGCCGGTGGGAAGCGCCCGCTGATTGGATGCAGAACGGGGGTTGTAGATCCTGAATAAGAGGAAAACACAGACATAGAAATCTTATAACGTTATACAAAAATAAAAAATAAACAATGTCGTTTATTCAGTCTAGTAGTCTGTTACAAGCACTTGTGACTGTCGAAAAGCTACGCCATGGGTTCGCAAATCTACGGCGGGAGCCCTTGTACTGAGAAGAACCGGCAAGAAACTCAGTCTCTTTAAAGTTACAAAATTAAGCAAATATCGACGTTTGCTAGCATGTTGTATAATATGTATACAGAACGCCGTTCGTACGCTTTTTGGTGCACTTTTGTTAGGCGAATGTAAGACTATTCGTTTATTGTATGTCAATCACAGACAATGAAAATGGACTCGAAAATGGATCGACTTAACGATTCGAATAATTCTCAAGAAAGAGAGAAAGCAATAGGGCAGCCCATTAATATAAGAATAATTGGGCGCAGACTGGGCTTTTAGATGTGAGAAAGACAGTTTCTTTTATTGGATTGGGAAAGCTTAGTCTTTTATAGAAAAGAGAGATGACCGCCTGTAAATACATTTTCAACACAGAATGTCTTGAAAAATACCTAATTTGCAAAATATCGCTTACCTTAAAACCTAGTAACGGTGGTCTTGAGCAACTGGTGACGAACTTTAAAAGTTGCCGTCTCTGGTCGTCTGTGAAGTTCTTCACTACCTTCCAGAAGCATTGCACTGTCGGATGGGTCGCCGAATATCCTCCTACATAAATAGGTTATATCATCATGTTTAAAACTTTCATGGTCACTAACATTATAGCTATTAACGGGATTGTTACCATGTACCTAGTTTTTTATATATTATATATTTATTTATTAGATATTTCGGAGTTACTGCGTGATCATGGCGCTTGCAACAGTGCCGAAATATCGGAGACTCAAAAAAAACAAGGTACATGATAACATAATAGCTATAATATATCATCAAGATCACATAAACGCATCATACATTTCGTGCATCAGAAAGGACGTTTGCATTTTCAGTAATAAGTGTCCAACAATCCAAACAATATTTGCGATTTACTCAGACTCACATTAAACTTAACAATAAATTAATTAAATCATTTATTTATGCATGCAACACAATGAATAATATCCACTTCCTATCTTATATAGTATTTTTTACTTAGTTACAAATGCATGCCCGTTTTCAAAAAGCTGCAAAGTATCATAAAGTACACGTTACGTATTCACTTACCCGCGTATTGTGTATGGGCCATAAGGTCGTCCAAGTCGATAGGCACTTCAGCTCCCGATATGAGAAGTTGTAGTTCGCGGCACGAGAACATTCTGAGCCACTCCCCATTCACTACCGACGTCAAGCCTCGCTTGAACGCGTTACACTGCGACCGGATTTGCCTACAACATTCATTCGTAATGAATAAACTAGCAATTTTCAAACTTATTCGTCTAGAAGTTGCACCTGGCGGCACAAAAACATTCTCCAACACTCTTACTGTTTGCTGGTAGGGAATGCCTTTGGCATTAAGTCCGCCGTTTGGTTATGTGTGCCAATAAAGTTTAAATAAATAAATAAAATAAAACATTCCGAGCCACTCCCCGTTTATACTGCGACCAGATTTGCCTACAACATTCGTTCGTAAAGAATTAACTAGACGTTTTCAAACTTATTCATCTAATCCCCGTAGCATGAACACTACAACTTGCATTATATCACGTTTTATTTAAGAAAGAAAGAAAAAGATTTACTGACGACATACATTAACAATTACAATCAATACACAACAAACATGAAACAAAAGATACATCGTCAACTAGGCCCTACCTCAGCATAATGTTGCAACGGCAAAAATGGATTGCCGCTGCAACGCTGATATTCTGGAGGGACCTTATTTGGATATCAACGGACGGAAATACAAGACAATCACTTAATACACAAAACAAAAACAGAAAACAATCTGGACCTCGCATCCCTCACCTAAAGCAGTCCAGCACAAAACAAAAAAAAGCACAAGAGGCTGTGTGGGCTCAGCTCTTTGCCTACAAAAATTTGGATACACCAAAATAAGAGAAAAAAAGAAGAGAAAGACACGTCCTTATAAAGTCATTTTAAAAAAGTAGACAATGCCTATGAGCTAATTACCTGTTTAACTTATAATCAGCGACTAGATGAATGTATTCTATCCTATTTTCGGCAGTGACTGGAATGTTGGCTCCTCCCGGTTTCAACTCCTCTATCTGCGAAAAGGAAAAGGATTTGTTCAAAACATTTTTCATGCTGGCACTTCACTTGGCTATTCGAATTTGTCAATTGTAAACTTAACAACAGTCTGTCCTTATCATGCTTTTTAAAGAATGAAAAGGACAGACCGATGATGACGAACATTTGTGTTTAAAGAATTCTGCACCCAGTGAAATCGCGCCTAAAACTCCGGAATTTATGACCTACTTATTGTCATTGTTTTAAGTTTTAAATCTGGTGCTTCATTCCCCCATTTGCTTTCAATAGAAGTAGACCGCGGTCAAGTGAAGCCAGCAACAGGACAACACAAATTCTGCTTTCAACAAATTACTTACTTACTAAAATTCCTAAATTTACTGCCAATAATCATCCGCTCAAGGAGCTTGATGGCGCAAGTGATTAGCACGTTCCGCTGCGATCGTTGCAGTTAAGCAAATTTCACAGTAGTCGGTCATTGGATGGGTGCCCAAAAACTTACTAACTCGATCTCCTCCGTGTTTCGGAGGGTACGTTAAACTGTTGGTCCGGCTGCATCTACAGTCGTTAGCACCCACCAACTCGTACAGGGCCCGCGGGGTGGGTCATGGCCCAACCTCCCTATTCCAACAATAGGGAAGGCCTGTGCCCCAGCAGTGGGTACATTAATAGGTTGTTGATGATGAGGACTTACCCGTTGTTCCCCAAGTTCGTCGCTAACAATAGTGAAGTCAAGTCCCAAGTCAGGTACTTCATTCCGTCCATGAGCCTTCAGTAGAAGTAAACCCCGGTATAAACCAGGATCAAGTGAAGCCAACGCATGAACATCGGGCTCTCGAGACGAACACAACTTGCCGAGGAAGAACTCCGCTAGAGGGAGCTCCACTAGCAGATTCTCGTATATTGCCTAAAAAGATAAGTCCTATTTAGACAACGATATTAAATACCCTACATACAGTTTGTCTATAAAGTCGTGACATTATATGATGGCGCCACTAGTTGAATCAGAATAAAATTATTATAGATAAAATAGTACTATATAGTGTAAAAGTGTGTAATATTGGTGATTACCACTGAGGTGCCATTGAGACCAGAGCCGTTAGGTAATCATCAATACAAACAAGTATCATCATACGACGTTTTTTAACACACTTGTTAAGAAAATAATACTAAAAATCATTTTATAGTATATAAAAAGTTTATTTAGAGAAACAATTTGTAAATGTGCAGTTAGTAAAATTAGTGATAGGTATCTTCACTAAAAGCATCTGGCCATGGTTCTTTATGTGACCATTTCTTTCTTTGGTCGGCCTTGACTGTTTTCCCAGGAGTTTCAAACTTTCCATCATTCTTAAAACCTTCATTGACTATCCGACTCTCTGATTTTCCTGAAAAAAGGTAAAAAAATATGTAACGGAATAGAAACAATAACTTATTGACATGAAGCAATTAATTCAGATTACAAACAAATAGTTACACGATTACATACCCGTCATAGATGCTGTTCGCCCATAAACATCATCCAAATCCCACAAAATACGTCCAGCTTGGTAGTCTTCGAAACATCGCTGGAAAACTTTAAAAATCACTTCCCGCGTGCCACTCCGATTTACTTTACTCATTTTTATACCTTTCTGCGTAGTTTCGTCTTAATTTATTACAGTTTCATCCAAACAATAAAAAAATACAAAAGGAAAACTTTTCCACAACTGAAACTCGATGACAGCTGATGTACATAAGTTTGGTGTTGCCAGACACATGAATAATGTTAGTTCCTCAAACATTCATGTCACGACTTTATAGACAAACTGTACATCAGGTGCGCTCAAAATGCGTCCTAATAAAGAAGTGCTTGAACACGACTCAAGCACTTTTTGGTTCACAATCACGCGCGGACCGTTGAAAAGTCAATATGCCGCAGAGCTCCGCGAAAAAATGGGAAATAAATATTAATAGTACGTAAAGTGCCCTGTTTTCGACAGGTATCAAATCGATGTTTGTTAATTTAATTCATTTAGAGCAAATTTTGTTGTAATACTTACTATAAACTGATTTAATAGAAAATATTTGTGATATTCAAATGCATGGTCGGTAATATAGCCGTCTATTTTCCTCGCGGTCCGTACCTTCTATATTGGTACCAGCGCATGTGGAATTGCGCGTAGCTTTAAAGAAATAAGTTCTATATTCTTCCGCGTATAGCAATAAGTCGTAAAATTTTACGAGCTTGCATTTCGAACTGTCGTAACTCTTTGACGCATGCGTTTTCATTAAGACCTTATGCAGTATGCATTAAAGGTGACTTTTAATGTTTAAATAATGGCTTATATTGTTTTTGCCTACGCTATCATGTTACGGAGCTCCGTGGATCGTCCAATGTACCTTTTGGGCAGGTTTCGGCCACAATTTTGTTCGTGATGTTGTATCTAGGGTATTTAATTACGTTGTATTTAGAGAGAGATTTTATACACCCGACAGGATATCAAAAGCGAGACCAGGAGATGTCTAAAGGACAATGGGCAAAATTGCATGGACACTGCACCCACGTCCGCCACGGCTTAAACTACATTTGTTTGAAAGGTATCATAGTCATGATCATTTGTGCCAAAGCGCATCAAATTCCATCCCGGGAGTCTTTAGTTATTTTAAGTTTAATAGGTACAATTCCATAGGTAAAAGTAACTATAACGAACATAATATTTAAAGATACAAGGACGAGTATATAGAACGGATATATTAATTGACGACCACGGAGGTCGTCAATTAATATATCCGAGTCGAGTGGTTTGTACGCCGGGTTTCATGGTGTCGCTGGCTCGAGAGGTCCCGGGTTCGAATCCTGGTGGGGGCAGATGTTTGTGTGCTGAGTACGAGCATTTAAATTGATCCATAGATTTTTTATTAGCTCGTACGATTATAATGACGTACGCGATGATAATCGTGTTCCTATTTCTAAAGCGTGTTAGTTAAATATCAATGAAATAACAGGGAGCGCACAAAATGTAAGACATAGGACTGCATACGAGTAGACTAGTTGCAACGGCAACTGCAATATCACATCCTTCAACCCCCATACCCTGTTAGACGTTTTGAGGAGTCTCAGTAAGTGCAAGCAGCAAGCAAGCAGGATAGTAGGTAGGCTTTGTTGTTTAGTATTTTGTATCTGGTTGTACAGTAAGATATGATTCACTCACTTATTATTGCTAATATTATAAAACGAAAGTACTATTGATATTGAATGAATTTCTTTAGCTATTTAAATATCATCATCAGCCTATTAATGTCCCCACTGCTGGGGCACAGGCCTTCCCTATGGATGGAATAGGGAGATTGGGCCATGACCCACCACGCGGGCCCAGTGCGGATTGGCGGGTGCTAACGACTGCAGATGCAGCAGGGACCAACGGCTTAACGTGCCTTCCGAAGCACGGAGGAACTCGAGATAGATGTTTTTGGTCACCCATCCAATGACCGACCACTGCGGAAGTTGCTTAACTTCAACGATCGCAACCGAACGCGCTAACCACCTGCGCCATCGAGCTTCTCTATAAGGAGCTATTTAAATATGCCCGTGTGTAACCGGTCCCCATGACTTACACACAAAGGTCGTCTATAAGGACTATGTGCGGAAACCTTAACCCTTAATATAGAACATACCCAGGTGTATATCTTTTGAGCCCCAGGTTATTTTTTTTTGGTGCCATAATAAAAAAGGCTAGTTTTTCAAAGATCTATCGATTCATACTAATTACATTGTTGGCGGAGCTGGGTGCGTTTTGCCCATTGTCCTTTAGGTGCAAGTGGGATTAAGACCGTAAGATCTCTTTTTAATAATGAATATTACAACTTTTTCTTCTTTTATTTCTGCGTTTTTTTATATTTAAAGTTAACATATTATGTTTTTTTGTATGGAAATGTTCGTGAAGGCTGCCCTGTGACGGTATTATTTCAATCTCTTTGGTTACTGCTATATTACCCTTTACCATAGTGATCACCGTATTAATACTAATGTTACCATTTCAATGGCTAATAATGTTACCATTTCAATGGCTAATAATGTTACCATTCTAGGCTTCAAAATAATACCGATAAAAAATTAGTACAATACCTTTCCTAACATTCTTCCAACGAAGTAATAATGCATTGGAAAATCATCATATAATAAATGCACACCCGGATTGGGATACAACATGTTGTCCTTAGTTAATCTAAACAATCCTCTATTAGGATCAAATGCTGACCTGAAACCAAAACAGAAAAATTATGCATTTTATTGAAATCCTAAAATTAGAAGACAAAGCAATCTCATTTCAAGGAAATCCTACTGATTTTCTTTTCAACTGATATTTAAAATTTGTAAATTTGTTGTGTGTTTCTATGTTTATTACTCAATCACGCAAAAACTAGTTAACGGATTTAGATAAAATTTACTACGCATGTAGTTTATGACCTGGATTGAGCCAGGGTGTCACTTTGTAGGATTTTATCCAACAAAAAAAAAATACAACTTCCTGTGGGATGAAGTCGCGGGCGGCCGCCAGCATTATGATATATCGATAATAACTTAAACAAGAAAAGTTATCACTACTAGAATTAATATCAGTTATGTAGCATTATTGCGATATAAAATTAAATTAATCGAACAATAAATGAAAAGACGCAAAGCAATACCGACTAGTAGGTACTTTAATTAAATATTAAAGTACCTACTGTGAAAATCCACACGAAAAAGATTATTAACATTTGATTCAGATAATGAGGACCAGTTCAATCAAATTGTAAATATCCTATGTATAAAAATAATACATACTTAAGTAACTCCGACAAGAATTCTCTAAATAACCCTCCGCCGTCCACGCCTGCTTCCTCAGCGCCCGCTTGATTGATTAGTTGAACTCGAAGTTTCAATTTCATATCAGGTTCTAAACACAACGTATCACAATGTAAGCAAGTATAACTAAAAGTTACAAATTACGAAAGGTTTTGAAATATGACTGGGTTTTTCTAAATACACACCAATACTTGCACCAAAGTTCTTAAATCAAATTAAAAAACTGATCATTCTATCTCTTTTCACAATTGTCAAAGATGGATTGATGTGTGAAACAAACAGACATGACGATCGTAATTTTACATTTGGAAACACATCTCGGCCATGTTTTTTTTACAATTATAAAATCAGCAAATCATATCGAATATTACGAGATAAAATCAAACGACTGGCAGTTTAATCGATGCGCAACTATTGAAGAATTTTGTATCCATAATTCGACACTCACCGTTATCCGGCCTAAGCTTATCGAAAGCGTCTTCATAGAGATGAGTACGCCGCACACTGATATATATCGACGGGCCCTCATTGAAATTTGTCATCTCATACCAGTGATCGTGTTTTTCCCTATAGGCGAATACGAAAACAATATTATTGATACATAGAATATTTTAAACGTTATGAATCAATATTTAACAATATGGCGATATTGGGCGATGGCGATACGAGATAACATGTTGGCCCGAATATTTGCTCGTTGTTCGGATCAGGTCAAGATAACCCTATTTAAAGCATATTGTGACGGTATGAACGCGGGAAGCCTGTGGTCCCGATATATGAAAATTTCGCATTCCGTGCGAATAATGACTGAAATAGAAGCTAATTATTGTTCCTTGTGTCTCTAAGGCACATGATGTATTAAAAAACCTAAAACTTTCTAAATGTGTGAATACTTACTATAGCTTACTAACACTTAGTTATAAGTTATATTGTATACTAACATATGGATCTGTGTTGTCTGCCAATAAATGATATTATTATTATTATAAAAAAAGCGTTGTAGATAATTATGTTGCGATTCAAACGCGGAAACCTGTGCATAGTTGCGCTCGTAGCTAACTTCACAACCACCATAAAGTTTGAATCGCACTATACTTTACTCGACTTGTGTCGTACTGCTAGACTGATACGAATTGGCTTGTCAATGAGATTGGCGCCAGTTACTGCATCAAGGTAAATCTTGCATAGTATAAGAATTAGGCCATGCCGGGAGCAGGTTTTGTTTATATAATGCGTTAAATACATGATGACGCGCAGTGACGCACCTAACACAACACTAAAGTTAAACGCTATTTATTCAAACGGGAAGCATGAATTAATTCTAATTGTTTTCCTTAATTATACCAAATTTATTTGAATAAATGATAAATAGTTATGTTTTTATTTATTTTAAGCATTTAACTGCTAGATGTTTAAATCTAAAGAAAAGTTTACTAGAAAAAAAATCCACACGGACCAGGCAGCGGACGGGACTCGAACCCGCACCCTTCGCAATCCGGGCGAATGCACTGACCACCAGGTGCGGGTTCGAGTCCCGTCCGCTGCCTGGTCCGCGTGGATTTTTTTCTAGTAAATTTTTATTTAAATTATAAATATCTTTCATGCGGATATGCTGCAATAATGTTATTATCATTATTTAGCCATACGACGCACAGAGGGCTGAAAATCGCGCATCGAATATTGCAAACAATTAATTTGCGTAAATTTCCAGTCTATATGATGAGCTATATGATGAGCCATGATAAGCTTCATCTATACTTAAATAAAGAGGAAAAAATTGATTGTTTGTTTGTATTGAATAAGCTCTGAAACTACTGGACCGATTTGAAAAATTCTTTGACATTCAGAATCATACATTATCCCTGATGAACAAAGGCCATACAGTATTTTCAAAAAAGTTAGGATTCCTAATAAAAAAATCGATAATGTTACTGAGGGTGTGAAAAAAATACCAAAAATAACCTTACATCGCTTTGGCTGCGGAAGTCGTTTGATCGAAGCGTGGAGTATGTCAAAATCCAAAATAATTGATATATTGATAATCTAAGAGGATATTAGGCGCAATTATGCGAAAATGGAGATATCATCATTTATTATGCAAACTCCTACATACAATTTTTTCCGAAAAAAAAATTAAGTGCGCTGTTTACGGTTATATACTTGAAAGTTTATTATATAAAGCATATACTAGGTATTCTCAATCGTTTCCAAGCAAAAAAGGCGGCACTTTACAAAATAATTTAAATGTCTATGAAATGCGATTTTCAGCCCACTTTGCGATGCCCACTGCTGATATGCTCAGGCTTCAATTATTATAAACCTTATTAAAGAGAGATTGGGAAGAAAATATATAAACACTACTTATATCTACTGTACCCTTAGCACGAACCAATATCGAATTCGAAAAGTTTGCAGACCGAAATGTCAATGTCAAATTTTGTATGGAAACTTGAACAGCAGCGGTACAAAGTACGTAACGAGAACTGGAAATCAGTACAAATTTGACAATGAGATTTCGGACTCGCAAACGATACGAATACGATATTGGTTCGTGCTAGGGGTACTGAATAACTCACCTCATGAGCAATCCCTGGAATATTAAGACCCTTGTTGAAAATGGCACTACAAAAGGTATTTCCCGGAGTATTGTAACGGTCCTCAGCTCTTTGATTGTTAAAGGTGGTCCCTCCTCTGCAATGAAGTTTCAGTAACGATAACGTTTATATTAACTCTTATTTTAATGTTCATAAAATTGGTATGTGGTAAGTTGATAGTATTTAAATCATTGTCTCGTGCGAGGGTTGGAATCGAACCAGAGGCTTACTTTTCCAAGTAAAAGCACTATAAGACCTGTACGGGACCTGTCGAATTTACTCTATACAGAGAGTAGGAACATATGAAAGAGAAGAAGCCTAGTGGTTTGCGTTCGAATTTGCCTCGGTTTGGGCCCGGACACCATTAGACCGGCCGCTTGGACACTTCTTTCGTGGTCTCACCTTGTGCCGCCAAAGCCACGGAAAGTGCGGGGGGCGCCGTAGTTGCCACGAGTTGGGTCCGGCCACCATTAAACCGGCAGAGGGGCTAGCTTGGACACTTCATTCGTGGTCTCACCTTGTGCCGCCATAGCCGCGGAGTGCGAGAGGGGCGCCGCAGTTGGCTGGAGTTGGGCCTGTGGTGGGTGCCGGCCACCATTAGACCGGAGCGGAGGTGGGGTAAGCTTGTACTGCCTTCATTCGTGGTCTCACCTTGGGCCGCCATAGCCGCGGAGAGTGCGGGGGGGCGCCGCAGTTGCCTCGGGTTGGGCCTATGATGTGTCCCAGCAACCATTAGCACGGCGGCGGCCCCTTCGGGAACGGCGCCGGCCGCCGGCCATTCTTCCGCCCCGCAAAATTGCAGACGCGAATCCCGAACGTACAGCGCGCGCAGTAAGTGCGTGCAAACCTATGGAATACATACTTTTAATGTTAAGAATATTTAAAATGTAAAATCTAACCAAAACATGGTATTTAAAGAAAATATTATTAATTATTAAAATTATTATTATACAAATATCGATTTTTCACACTCCCTGAACAATATGTTAGACGATATAACCGAACTTCAATCGATAAGCGACGTCCCTATTGTTAATTATCGGCAACACTAGCTGTCAAAATATCCTGACAGGTGTGAAGGCAGATTCCCCGCGTATGCGCAAACTGTGTATTGTAAACTTGTGATGTGGATATGCCCACTTAATTAATTAAATTTTCTGAGTTATAACTAGAATTCTCTAACAAATGTTATAAAAAGCTCATTCATTCATTTTAAATCAGAGTTCTTAACACAGTGATATACTTTAAAATCATAGTCATAGTAATCATAGGGATATTTATAATCTAGACATCATAAAAAAATCCTTAACGAACATTCGCATTTAGGTAAGGTCTACCCAAATAAAAAAGAAACTCTTTTAACCACCTAGATCTGATGCAAATTTGCTTACCTTAAACAAATGCGACCACGCCGGGGTCTGATTCTTTCCGCTTATTTCTATCTGAGTATTGCCGACAGCGTCCTTATACGAGCCCCCCACTACGGGCCTCGTCTCAGGATACGCAAGTTCTACCAGCCCTAGACATACTTGTCGTAGGGTTCGACATAGCCCTCCTAGCTCGGAGAATTCGAAGGCGTGAATTCTGCCGCCACCGCCGCTGCCAGTAATCGTATTCACTGGTGCGGTTACTATGAAGAAAAAGGAAATTTAAAAAGTGTAATGAGGAAGCTTAGGATGGTATTAAGAAAACAAAAACAATTTAAACCCATATTTAGGCGAATTTTGATGTGGTGGATGTTTTCTTCTTAAATTCTTAGTGGTGTATTAAAGTTTACAAGTGTTTTTTTAGGAATTAAATTAAAAACACATTAAACAATGTTGGTAACTGATAAAATATTAAATTTATACATGGGTAAAAAAAATCCTTTTCGAAAAACTGTAGAGAAAAGTAATACCTACAAAAACAACAATTTAAGTTTAATAAAAATAAAATTAAAACACATTTTTTTTACTAAACAAACTACATAACTTAAAAATGAATAATTTCCATTTAGTCTCGGCAAGATAAGACATAAATAATAAACTAGTTGGGGTTTTATTCCCAATAGACTTACAGCTCATTTTGACGTCTTCGTCGTCGGTGTCCCGACAGAACTCAGTGTCATGTAGAGTGCCGATCAACAGTGAGAAGAGCGCACAAAACACTGCCAAAGGAGCCAAAAGTCTATGAACACCTATCACTGAGTACTCTGCACCCATGCCACGAGACAAAGCAGAGAGTAGCGGCGTCGCTGAACCTCCGAAAGAAGACTCGTGACTCATGTTACTCAACCAACGCCAGAGACCACGGATGAATATGGGTTTAAAAGCTAATGTGTACAATAACCTGCAATTATATCAGATTACACCTGGATTACACACTTACTTTAATAAACACATAAATTTAGACAATTTTTCGGTGTTGTGCAGTCTTACGATAGCTGTTTGAAACAGTAATGCATTACTGTTTATACTTTAGTTATAAAACAAATTAGCTATGTAATAATAATATTTTTTTTATGGACACCTGGCATTAGTAGTAGTGGTAATAGTACATTTTATATTAAATAAAGAATAATGAATAGTTTATGAACAATTTGTTTACATAAGTTCCCTTAGCAAAAAATTGTAGTTATTTCTAAATCCTTACCTATACTTATGTAATGCCATTCTGTGACTCAACAACAAATTGTGGCATATCTCTGACATAGCATCAAGGAATTCATCACTAAGATCAGTCTCAGTTATTTGAGAACATGTTACCATTATGCACCGATCGGGTTCATTCAACAACTCTATACACTTAGTTAATAGTAATTTTTCTCTGACTGAAGTTGGATTGGGCTCTGTTTCACTGTCACTGTCGTCATCTTTATCTGCAGCAGTCTCTTGGCTATACAGTGAGTCTTCATATTCATATGTTATTTGTTTATTACACACATTCACAGTCAACTTTGCTATTAGTTTCAGATAATTCAATACAATAGAATTATTTGGCAGTCTTGTATTATTCAAATTTCGTATATCATTAACTGAAATAAAAATATCAAGTCTCACTTATCTGAATTAAGTCTATAAAGAATTTCCCATTATTTTTAAGAAACTCACCAAATCCAGGGGGTTCCAGAGATAAAACTGAATGAAGTAACCATGAATCATTTATCAACAATTTACTAGTAAATTTGCTATCATCCTCAAGACATTGCAGAAAAGATAGGAAGGGAAATTTCTTTTCTGAGTTTTCTCGCAATGATGGTATAATGAACATTTCCACTGGCTCCCAATAAGGATTACATAAAAAGGCAGATGCAAACTCTGTCATTACATTATTACTGAAAAAGGAAAAAATATTTTGATTCTTGTTTAAAATTGAATTATTTTTTAGACTGAATGAAGATCAACATACTCAAAATCTGGTAGATGAATTTTAGTGACCAAATGCAAAGGTCTCTGAATGAGATCCAACAAAGCTCCACAAAGTGGTGTTGGTGGGTTTGGTGAAGGACCATATAAAGGTGGAGTTCTTTGACACATGAGCTGACACAAGTCTTTGAAGTAGCCTGAAACCAAAAATGACAAATTAAATAATGTTATAACTATAAGGAACACAGTGGTACTGTTTCTAAATAAAAGTATATAAGTTTACCTCTTCTAATTAGGTATATAAAAGTATTTCCTACAACTGTCAGTGCCTCTTCTTTATTCAAAATAGTTTCTGCAGATGTTACAGAAGTAAACACTTCAAACATTCTTAGTGGAACAGCTAAAGGTACCTGTACAAAATAATATATATTAACCTAATAAATATTAACAAATTATTATTTTAACAGCTGTTTATCCTCAAAATTATGAAAATTATAGATAAATCTTTTATCTATAATTGCACAGCACATTTGAGATTCCAAATAAAAAATTACTTAGGCTTACCTCAACATTATCTTTGAGTACTGATAAATGCAATGCTAATAGTCTTCTTATTTGTATACAAGAACTAGCATTTAGAAAAACTTTATTCCATTGCTTTAATAATATTTGTGATATAGAAATCTGAAATAAAAACTTGATGATAAATTTTCCACTACATAATTGATAAACAATAAATGTTTTGTTATGTTAAAACAAAATAAAATCTAGAATTTTAAAGTGCTTACACAAACATATTTTTTTTCTGATTAACTACTAATAATTATAGTTTTGACCATATTTAAAACATCTGATCACTCTAATTATTTCTCATAAATAAAAACATGCTTACCAATCTAGAAACATCTTTAGTAGCATCATAGAAGAACAATATTTTAGAGATAAGAGTTGAAAACAATAATTGTTCATCTTCAGAAGCATTTGGAAATAAGGCATCAAATTGTGCCCGCTCACTTTGTTTACAATGTTTTCTGGTTAAATAGCTTCTTACATAAGCTTGAATTTTTATTGTACTATTAAGACGTTTCCTTCGTTCCTGAAATATAGCATATGAATTTTATTTTAACTCATGTATATTAAGAGCAAATAACACCTTTTTATTTTTTTACATCATAATGAATTAACCTCTCGTTTTTGCCTTTGCTGTTGTGATTGAAGAATCAAAGCATCCCTGTCAGTGTTACGTTGAGAACTTGCTCCAGACAAATTTTGTTGTGGTTTCCGTCTAAAATCACCCTCAAAGGAATACATATCTGAAATTTAAAATAATAAAATAAAAGAACATAAATATACAAACAAGAAATTCGGTCAAGGAATTTCCACAGATGGCAGGTATCTTTATTAATGGAACCTTAGCTAAATAAGCGAAGATACCTTGATAGTGTGCACTCTTCTTTTAATACATTAAACCCTGAAACTCAGCTGCTTTCTATGCCTGGGCTGGGATCAGAGCATAATTTGTTTACAGTAAACTTGAATTATCAACGATACAAAATTAATATATGGGGTAGATTTCATACCTTAAAATTCTCTGTATTTATTCTTAATACTAAAACATATTCCCAATTCCCAGATAAATAGTTACTACATGTGATGAATGAAATTCAGAAAATCTTTTGTTTTTTCCCGATGACATGACAGTTTCTGTTTACTTTTTGTTTTAATTTTTATATACCAATGCAAAGTACATTAGGTTCATACAGCTTAGTTTTTAGTTATGGTTTATTTTCTATTATTTTAGTTTATCATTTGGAATCTATTATAAAATTATCTTTATCGGCGAATAAAAACATATTATTATAAAATTAAGAATACTGCAAATGTGTCCGCAAGAAAAAACATATTTTTTCGTATAAAGATTTCTGGCGTTTCAATTGCAGTTTTATTTACTTTTAAATGTCGTGGTGCGATGACGTATCAGAGATATTTAGTATGTAAACATACTACTATCGATATCGTACTCACTCTAAAGAGTGAGTACGATATCGATACATCGCAACACATAAGTATATTTCTACCTTTAGACCATAGCCAAACAGGCAGTAGAGGAGGTAGGTAAAAGTCGCAGCAGGCCGCGGCACTAAAATAGCGCTGACCGTTATTGCGCAAAAGTAAAAATTTAGTTTTAAAGCTTCGATGACACGGAGCGAGTAGAGTGAAGAGTCAATCGGCGCAACGCACGCCAGCCCGCGAATCTTTGTTTTACCCCTAAAGCCTCGATGACACGGGGTGAGTTTACAACGTTTATAAGCTCCAAGCCAGCGATGTCGCTAGTAGGTTGTAAACTCGCCCCGTATCATCGAGTAGCAGATGGTAAAAAGCCGATGGCTAGTTTACAAGCTGCTAGTAAACTCGCTGGCTTGTAGCTTGTAAACGTTGTAAACTCACCCCATGTCATCGAGGCTTTAGAGGCCCCATACACGGAACGATTCGTCGTTGCGATCGATCTGAAGGAAATCGTCAACGATCGATCGTTCAGAAATGCCACTACATACACGAAACGATTGATCGTAACGATCTATCATTTACTTGTTTCAAACGGTAGGATAAAGACGTACTCAAATAATTCAATACTTGCCCTCTAAAATGGAAAACGAACTCATGATTGCATGAGCGATATTCATGATTGCATGGGATTTGGTTGCGATTTGCGATATCGTCGTATCGTAAATCGTTAACGATCTTGACATACACTGTCGATCCATCGTTTCGATCGGTCTGAAACGACGGATCGTACAGATCAATCGTACCGTATATGGGACACTGACGATCGATCGTTTACGATATTCATGATTGCATGGGTTTTTGTTGCGATCTCCGATATCGTCTGCGATTAAGTAAATCGTTAACGATCTTGACTAAGGGTGCGGCCAGAGTGCACTCAGATTCAGATTCAGATTCAGACTCAGAAAACAAAGCGCGAGAAATAAACAGTGTAGTCTAAGCAGGTTGCCTGCTTTTTCTCGCGCTTTGTTTTCTGAGTCTGAATCTGAATCAGGAGTGCACTCTGGCCGTACCCTTCGACTACACTGTTTATTTCTCGCGCTTGTTTTCGGAATCTGAATCTGAATCTGAATCTGAGTGCACTCTGGCCGTACCCATACACTGTCGATCCATCGTTTCGATCGGTCTGAAACGACGGATTGTACAGATCAATCGTACCGTATATGGGCCCCTAGGGGTAAAACAAAGATGCGCGGGCGGGCGTGCGTTGCGCCGATTGGCTCTCCAGTCGTACTCCGTCCCCCGTACTGATACGTCGCCCCGCGCACTTCAAGTATGCTTTCCAATTACAGAGCATAATGCGACTTTGTGCCGCACAATGCCCAATTATGCTGATGTTTAATTGGAACGTGAATTAGTTTTCAAATGCACAAACAGAGTGCGCTAAGTTCAGTGTTGAAAAAAAAAAGTCAATGTTTGTACCTTCATCCATACTTATATTTATTTTTTAACAGTTTGAATGAACTTTGATAATTTAAAAAAAACTATTTAATGAAACGAAAGCTTTAATAATTTTTCAACAATAAATAATATTACTAACGATAACATATAAATAAAACATTTCGATCAATGCCAACTTAAAGAAAAAACACTTGTTAATTTTCTTTCTCTAAGCGAAGCGTTGCTGTAGTTGGAACACTCAACGTTAAGCATTATGCCGCATTATGCCGCATAATGCGCAATAATGCTGTAATTGGAAAGCAACCCAAGTCTACAGTAGCATTCTAAATTGTTTTGTTGTCATTGTTAATTGTTGTTGTTGTTATTTGTTGATTTACTTGTTGTGTTTGTTAGTTAATATACGGTTTTATTAAGTTTAAACAGTGAAAATGCCGAAAATTGTTTTGAAAAGACAGGCACGGAAAGTGGATATTGACGTGCATTATTTTATGAAAAGGGAATCTAATGACTCCATTGATTCCTTGGAACAAAGCCAAAGTGAAATTGGCTAAGCTAAGAGTATTTTACTCGATGCGGACAGCAGCACTGTAGATTTAAGCCAAATAAAACAAACTGCACAAGTTATTCAGGCGGGAAATATGAAATTAAATAGTATAATTAGTGACTTCTAAGTCATTTTCTCTAGAAAATTCAATAAAGGACAGCTGAGTCCACAAAAACTTCCTTAGCAACGGTAAAACGGTCTGAAAGCTGGTTGCCTAGCTGTTTGCCTAGCTGGTTGCCTAGCTTGTTGCCTAGCTAGCAGCCTAGCTGGTTGTCTAGCTGTTTGCCTCGCTTGTTGCCTAGCTAGCAGCCTATCTGGTTGCCAAGCTAGTTGCCTAGTGTGTTGCCTAGTGTGTTGCCTAGTGAGTTGCCTAGCTGTTTGCCTTGCTTGTTGGCTAGCTACTACTAGGCAACTAGCTTGGCAACCAGATAAGCTGCTAGCTAGGCAACCAACTAGGCAAACAGCTAGGCAACCAGCTAGGCAACTCACTAGGCAACTAGCTAGGCAAACAGCTAGGTAACCAGCTAGGCATCTCACTAGGCAACTAGCTAGCAACTAGCTTGGCAACCAGCTAGGCTGCTAGCTAGGCAACAAGCGAGGCAAACAGCTAGACAACCAGCTAGGCTGCTAGCTTGGCAACCAGCTAGGCTGCTAGCTAGGCAACAAGCGAGGCAAACAGCTAGACAACTAGCTAGGCTGCTAGCTAGGCAACCAGCTAGGCTGCTAGCTTGGCAACCAGCTAGGCTGCTAGCTAGGCAACCAGCTAGGCTGCTAGCTAGGCAACAAGCGAGGCAAACAGCTAGGCAACCAGCTAAGCTGCAAGCTAAGACAACCAGCTAGACAACCAGCTAGGCTGCTAGCTAGGCTGCTAGTTAGGCAGCCAGCTGGGCAAACAGCTAGGCAACCAGCTAGGCAACTCATAAGGCAACTAGCTAGGCAACTCACTAGGCAACTAGCTAGGCAACTCACTAGGCAACTAGCTTGGCAACCAGATAGGCTGCTAGCTAGGCAACCAGCTAGGCTGCTAGCTAAGACCACCAGCTGGACAACCAGCTAGGCTGCTAGCTAGGCAACAAGTTAGGCAACCAGCTAGGCATCTCACTAGGCAACTAGCTAGGCAACTAGCTTGGCAACGAGCTAGGCTGCTAGCTAGGCAACAAGCGAGGCAAACAGCTAAACAACCAGCTAGGCTGCTAGCTTGGCAACCAGCTAGGCTGCTAGCTAGGCAACAAGCGAGGCAAACAGCTAGACAACCAGCTAGGCTGCTAGCTAGGCAACCAGCTAGGCTGCTAGCTTGGCAACCAGCTAGGCTGCTAGCTAGGCAACCAGCTAGGCTGCTAGCTAGGCAACAAGCGAGGCAAACAGCTAGGCAACCAGCTAAGCTGCAAGCTAAGACAACCAGCTAGGCTGCTAGCTAGGCTGCTACTTAGGCAGCCAGCTGGGCAAACAGCTAGGCAACTCACTAGGCAACTAGCTAGGCAACTCACTAGGCAACTAGCTTGGCAACCAGATAGGCTGCTAGCTAGGCAACCAGCTAGGCTGCTAGCTAAGACCACCAGCTGGACAACCAGCTAGGCTGCTAGCTAGGCAACAAGTTAGGCAACCAGCTAGGCATCTCACTAGGCAACTAGCTAGGCAACTAGCTTGGCAACGAGCTAGGCTGCTAGCTAGGCAACAAGCGAGGCAAACAGCTAGACAACCAGCTAGGCTGCTAGCTTGGCAACCAGCTAGGCTGCTAGCTAGGCAACAAGCGAGGCAAACAGCTAGACAACCAGCTAGGCTGCTAGCTAGGCAACCAGCTAGGCTGCTAGCTAGGCAACCAGCTAGGCTGCTAGCTAGGCAACCAGCTAGGCTGCTAGCTAGGCAACAAGCGAGGCAAACAGCTAGGCAACCAGCTAAGCTGCTAGCTAAGACATCCAGCTAGACAACCAGCTAGGCTGCTGGCTAGGCAACAAGCGAGGCAAACAGCTAGGCAACCAGCTAAGCTGCAGGCTAAGACAACCAACTAGGCAAACAGCTAGGCAACCAGCTAGGCAACTCACTAGGCAACTAGCTAGGCAAACAGCTAGGTAACCAGCTAGGCATCTCACTAGGCAACTAGCTAGCAACTAGCTTGGCAACCAGCTAGGCTGCTAGCTAGGCAACAAGCGAGGCAAACAGCTAGACAACCAGCTAGGCTGCTAGCTAGGCAACCAGCTAGGCTGCTAGCTAGGCAACCAGCTAGGCTGCTAGCTAGGCAACCAGCTAGGCTGCTAGCAAGCAACAAGCGAGGCAAACAGCTAGGCAACCAGCTAAGCTGCTAGCTAAGACATCCAGCTAGACAACCAGCTAGGCTGCTGGCTAGGCAACAAGCGAGGCAAACAGCTAGGCAACCAGCTAAGCTGCAGGCTAAGACAACCAGCTAGGCTGCTAGCTAGGCTGCTAGTTAGGCAGCCAGCTGGGCAAACAGCTAGGCAATCAGCTAGGCAACTCATTAGGCAACTAGCTAGGCAACTCACTAGGCAACTAGCTAGGCAACTCACTAGGCAACTAGCTTGGCAACCAGATAGGCTGCTAGCTGGGCAACCAGCTAAGCTGCTAGCTAAGACAACCAGCTGGACAACCAGCTAGGCTGCTAGCTAGGCAACAAGTTAGGCAACCACCTAGGCAAACAGCTAGGCAACCAGCTAGGCAACTCACTAGGCAACTAGCTAGGCAACTCACTAGACAACTAGCTTGGCAACCAGATAGGCTGCTAGCTAGGCAACCAGCTAGGCAACAAAACTATCCTCCACTTGAGATATTCCTCACTCGAGTGGAGGTCGAGTCGAGGAATAAACTGTCAAACTCAAGGTAGCTCTCGACGTACCTTAAGGCACGGTAATATTATCTATTATTACCGTGCTTAAGGCTTCCTCGAGTGTTATTTAAGGTGTTTTAAAGTTGTTTTTTTGAGATTTTGAATTTTGAGATTATTGACGAATCGGTGGATTTTATAGATTACGTATACGATGATGAACCATATAATCCGGCGCGACGGTATTTACGTGACGCCGCAACTCCTTTTGAGGTTTACGACAATGATTCGTTAAAAAGAAGATTTCGGTTTAGAGAAATACATTCATACAAGTAATATTTCCTCTGCTAAGCATTACACTAAATTGTAATAACAGAGGACTACTTGTACCGCCTATAATACAATTACGTGACAGGATTATTTCAAGTAGGTATTTACCTATGTTTGTTGTGTGATATTTTACTTTACACATATAATATGTATATGCTTTTATGCTTTATACCTTTGTTTGTACTCTCAGTGGAGGAATTCTCAAGTTTGTTCAAGATACCTACTAGAATATCATTTTCGAGGTTATTTTTAGGAACTCCTTAAGGAGCCCTAGAATGAGTTATGGTAGCCATACACACTACGAGAAATCGTTACGATTAGACTGTACCGTCCGGACGGTACCGATAAATCGTAGCGTGTATGTTATAAAACTGCACAGTTTCCTATACGTACGCCACGTACAATAAACTGTTTCGTTCGAACTGTACAGTCTGATCGTAACGATTTCTCGTAGTCTGTATGGATACCATTAGAGTCGAGGAACGTTTGAGGACGCGACTAAGAATATGGGTGTGTGACTCTCTGAGCCAGATCCAAGGAACTTATTATACTAGCTGGTATGCTTACGAAACAATATGGGAATTCGAAAAATGTACTCTAACAAGTTAGACATAAAGTCCATTTTTCTTTCAACCCTCATAAGGGGGAAAATACTCCTAGCGCGACAATGACGAAAGTGGAATCTGTCCCTCTCTTAGAATTGTTTGGGCACACTACTAGAACGAGACAGATTCCACCAATTCAGCTATGCTCTTGGAACGATTTTGAGGGTCGCGTAAGCATTGCAGTTAGTATAAAAGTTCCTTGGCCAGACCATCAAATAAAAATATTATTTAAATAAACTAAATGGTTTTTGAAGAAAAGGGAGAAAATACTTTAGACAAGCCTGTATGGGCTTTAGTTTCCCCTGCCTTCCCTAAAAAGGGAGAATATTAAAAAAAACATCAAATGTGTGTTTGACAACGGCTTTTTAAATTCACAGAATAGCTTTATTTATTTGATTTTTTTTGTAAATATATTGCAAATACACTTAAATAAAAATAAACCAGTAAAGGAGGCACTAACCCATTAGATAGAGACAAGTACCACTGGTGTTTGTAGCAATTTCTGTGACGATGATAATTGTAGAGCATCTACAAATAAGCCCTAAGCTTTTAATACATTACATTACAAAACCTCCTTCAAATTTGGTCTGAGTATACCTACAACCTTTCCTACAACATGGAAAGTGGCAGTCGAGTAAGTATAAAGAAACAACCTACTGCGTATATTTCTGAACGCTAAGTATATTTTTGTACGTTGACGACCTCCGTGGCTGAATGGTAAGGACGCCGGGTTTCAAGGTGTCGCCTAGTTGAGAGATCCCGGGTTTGAATCCCGGGGGGGGGGCAGATGTTTGTGTGATGAATACAAGCATTTGTACATGGATGTTCAGTATGTATTTTTATATAAATATAGCTATATATATCAGTACTATGTATTCTAACCGTTACCCTAGTATCCCAGAACTCAAACCTACAGTGTTTACTTTGGGGCTAGGTCAATTGGTGTGAGTGATGTAAATATTTATTTATTATTATTGTAAAGGTAACATCAACACTTCCATGACTCGAACAGCAAATTATGTCTTTCCTCAGATTTCCAGACCAACTCTTAATCAAGTGAAAGCAGTGGTGGAATATATGCAAAAGCATCCAGACTTAGCAAAGAAACATAGATATGGTGTTAGCCCTAAAAAGTTCAAAAAACTTTGGTTGGAGTTGACTAAAATTGCTAACTCTATAGATGGTACAAAAAAGTCTACAGAGGGATGGATCAAAGTAATAAATTTTAAATAGGTAATTTATGTGCATCTAGATATTCTATAAACAATAATCTGTCTCCTTCTATTATTTTTAGTTTTGGTCAGACAAAAGGAGAAGTATTATAGTTAAAAAAAAACAAATTGAAGAAGGAAAAATCCAAGGAAAACTTTTGCCAATGGAACAGAAAATACTAGATTTGTGTGAAGGCACAACCTGCTCCAGTAAGTTTTTCGGTCTCTCTTCAATAAAACAGATTTTATATTAAGTAACAGATATACATATTTCCTTTGAAATTCAAGTACAAATATTTACATTTAACCCTTCAACTGCGGGAAAGCCTCCGCCTAAAACACCCCCCCCTTGCGGAACGATTGCGCGGGCGCGCGCTCGACGCGGTTTGAAATTTATTCAATAACTTTAATAAATTGTTCGGTCGACATGCAGCTAAATATTTTATTTCAATTATAGATAGTCAATGTACCTTCTTTTTTAGTAATTTCCTATATAAATTGTTTCAACCTTTTTATTTTTAACAGGAAATGTAGACAAAATCAATTTCGCACCTAAGGTGGCATAAACGCGATTTGAATAAATTATATGAATACTTGTGCTTTTCATTGATAACCTTTTCAAAGTTGAATAACTAAACAATAGATTTTTGCAAAAAAATAATATACTGTTGTAATATAATGTTGCTAATAAACTGTTTTAAAAATTACTTTTTAGTTGCGAGCTCCCCGATGCTCGATTTTAAAATCGTCGTACTAACGGTTGTTTGGTCATAAGAACGACTTCACCACAATGAGTGAATGGTTTATTCATCTGGGTATAAAATTCAAAAGACTTTGAACTGTATTGCATTGTTTTTATTCCCAAAATTGCAAAAAATTGAATGCGGGTGACGAGCGAGCAGTTCTGCACTTACCCAAACGGGCTTTACTCACGAAGGCGTGCAGTACCGCAGTACAGGGGTTGAAGGGTTAACCCTTCAACTGCGGGAAATCCTCCGCCTAAAACACCCCCCCCTTGCGGAACGATTGCGCGGCCGCAGCGCGCGCTCGACGCGGTTTGAAATTTATTCAATAACTTTAATAAATTGTTCGGTCGACATGCAGCTAAATATTTTATTTCAATAGATAGTCAATGTACCTTCTTTTTTAGTAATTTCCTATATAAATTGTTTCAACCCAAAAGGGTTGATTTTGTCTACGTTTCCTGTTAAAAATAAAAATTTTTAACAGGAAACGTAGACAAAATCAATTTCGCACCTAAGGTGGCATAAACGCGATTTGAATAAATTATACGCATACTTGTGCTTTTCATTGATAACCTTTTCAAAGTTGAATAACTAAACAATAGATTTTTGCAAAAAAATAAGGGTTAAATAACAAAAACTTAAAAACTACATGATTACTAAAATTTACATTCCAAATAACTTACTTAACTACTACTTTTTGATTTTATTTAAAATCAAAAGAACCTATTTTTATATATTTAAGACCTAGTGACTTAAGAGACACATAGAGAACTAGGTCTTAAATATAAATCTAAGGATTTAGTTCTTTTCAGCCAGGAAAAAAAACTTCTTATGCCGTTGAGTTAAAGTGACTGTCACTGCTTCAGCTCACACATTAAAATAAAAATAAATAAATAAAAATAGCCTTTATTCCCTGATATAGTTATACTACTTACTAACTAGCCGTATTACTAATTTCCTATTGCTACAATTTGATTTAATTTTACAATGCTTACACTAATAAAAGAAAATTGGTAACACCAGCACTATTTTAATCAGGTTGTCCTCCTCGGACATAGGCCTCCTCTAGAATTTTCCATTTTATCCGGTCTCTTGCTAATCTACGCCATCCTTGTGGTAGGTCATCCTCCCATCTTCTCTGTGGCCGCCCTCTTGTCCTCTTCCCATCTCTGGGGTACCAAGATACGACTTTGGTCCATTTTTCTTTGGGGGATCTGATCACATGTCCAATCCAACGCCATTTAAGTCTCCTTATTTTCTTGGAAACATCTGCCACACCTGTGATTTTTCTAATTCTGCTCAGTCTCCACTTGTCTTTCAAACGGATGTGCAGCATGCTTCTCTGTATCCCCTGCTGACATACCTTGAGTTTTTGACTGTGCGCCTTTGTCAGGCCCCAAGTTTGACACCCGTAGGTAAGTATTGGTAGGATGCACATGTTGAAAACTTTACGTTTGATTGGCATTGGAGTGTTCTTATTCTTCAATATTTCCTTCAGCGACCAGTAACGAGCCCAGGTGTTGTTTACTCGTGTTTGCAACTCTTTGTCCATCTGCGAGTTTGGTGAAATTATTTGGCCTAAATATGTGTAGTCATTCACATACTCAATGTCATGATTATTGACACAGATTTTTTGTTGATGTCTATTGGTCATGATCTTTGTTTTATTTGTGTTCATGGTCAGACCTGCTTTTTGACTTTCTGTTGCAAGTTGTAAGAGCATTTCCTGTAGAGTGACTGGGTCCTCCGCAAACAGTATCAAGTCGTCCGCAAATCGCAGGTGTGACAGCCTACATCCATTAATATTTAGTCCCCTCTTCTCCCAATCTAATTTTCTGAAAATTTCCTCTAGCACAGCTGAAAAAAGCTTGGGAGATAGAAGATCCCCTTGTCTGACTCCTTTTTGGACTTTAAATTCCTCTCCAATTTTTTCTAATTGTACTTTTGCCGTGTTGTTGCTGTATATATTCTTTATGAGTCGAATATACTTATAATTTTTATTATTTTTAAAGCATGTAACTGCTTGATGTTTAAATCTAAAGAAAATATAACTAGAAAAAATTCCACGCGGACCAGGCAGCAGACGGGACTCGAACCCGCACCCTTCGCAATCCGGGCGAATGCACTGACCAATTATGCTACCGCGGCCCTCACGGACCGCGTCGAAATTCCTTCTAGCTATTCTTAAGCTGCATGGCAGCGCCATCTCTTCGCATTATAGGTAAACCCACAATGTCAAATGAATACTTTTACAAGTATTAAACATTTGAAAGAAGAAATAGCAATTATAGTTATAATTTTTATTATTTTTAAAGCATGTAACTGCTTGATGTTTAAATCTAAAGAAAATATAACTAGAAAAAATTCCACGCGGACCAGGCAGCAGACGGGACTCGAACCCGCACCCTTCGCAATCCATAATAGCATAGAAGTAGCATAATTGGTCAGTGCATTCGCCCGGATTGCGAAGGGTGCGGGTTCGAGTCCCGTCTGCTGCCTGGTCCGCGTGGAATTTTTTCTAGTTATATTTTCTTTAGATTTAAACATCAAGCAGTTACATGCTTTAAAAATAATAAAAATTATAACTATAATTGCTATTTCTTCTTTCAAATGTTTAATACTTGTAAAAGTATTCATTTGACATTGTGGGTTTACCTATAATGCGAAGAGATGGCGCTGCCATGCAGCTTAAGAATAGCTAGAAGGAATTTCGACGCGGTCCGTGAGGGCCGCGGTAGCATAATTGGTCAGTGCATTCGCCCGGATTGCGAAGGGTGCGGGTTCGAGTCCCGTCTGCTGCCTGGTCCGCGTGGAATTTTTTCTAGTTATATTTTCTTTAGATTTAAACATCAAGCAGTTACATGCTTTAAAAATAATAAAAATTATAAATATAATTGCTATTTCTTCTTTCAAATGTTTAATACTTGTAAAAGTATTCATTTGACATTGTGGGTTTACCTATAATGCGAAGAGATGGCGCTGCCATGCAGCTTAAGAATAGCTAGAAGGAATTTCGACGCGGTCCGTGAGGGCCGCGGTAGCATAATTGGTCAGTGCATTCGCCCGGATTGCGAAGGGTGCGGGTTCGAGTCCCGTCTGCTGCCTGGTCCGCGTGGAATTTTTTCTAGTTATATTTTCTTTCGAATATACTTATTTTCTATTCCTTGATTGAACAAAGCTTATATATGTAGTTATGAGATAGCGAATCAAATGCCTTATTATAGTCTACAAAGGAAATATAATATGGTTTCCTGTACTCATTTGTACTTTTCTATTACTTGTTTTACGACATGCATGTGGTCTACCGTTGAAAAATCTGCTCTGAAGCCTGCCTGTTCTCTTGGTTGTTCCGCGTCTAGTCGTTTGGTGACCCTGCCTAAAATAATTTTCTAAAAAACTTTGTACAAGTTTGTCATGAGGCTAATGGGTCTATAGTTATCTATTTTGTCTTTATCGCCCTTTTTGTGAATCAATATTATAGTTGATTTTGTCCATTGTTCCGGAATAATTTCACTATCTAAGATTTCGTTAAATAGACTGGTAAGTGTTTTTCGTATAGTACTCAATGACGCTTTAAGCAGTTCATTGGTTATTTTATCTTCTCCTGGAGCTTTGTCGTTCTTTTGTGATAGTATGGCTCGTCTCGTTTCGCTTTCTAGTATGTAAGGGACTTCTTCTTCTTTGTTTAGATTTTCTATTGTTACTGATAGTTCGGATGAACTATAAAGGCTTTTGTAGAAGTTCGTAGCGATTTTGCTGATTGATGCTCTGTTTGTAGTTGTAAATTCCTTGTTTTCTTTGTTTTTTCCCTTCATTTTCGGTATCCAAAATGAGTGATCCTTAAGTTTCTTCATTACTCTTTTGATTCCTCCTGTTTTCTCGATTTCAGATTGAATGCTGTTGAAACGTACTTCCTTTTTATGGTCTCTTATACTTGATGTGATCTTTTTACTTATTACTTCTATCTTTTTAATGTTCTTTTTCCTGTCTGCAAGCATTTCTCCTCTTTCTTTTATTAGGGTTCTTGCTGAATGTCCTATTTTGTCCATTTTGTTTAACTTACTCATGTGTCTCAGTTCGTTTCCTAGATTAGTTAATATTTTTTCGAATGTGTTATATTTTTCTTGAATTAAATCGCTATTTTTAATTTTATCCATCACAAATAATTAAAATAAAGGGAAAAAACTTGAGCATGTTTTAATATATGTATTCTTACTGTACAATATTGATGTTTTTCTTTGGTATGTTGTTTACATCCTTATTGCAGGAAGAAAAAGTGAGGTTAAAGAAGAACCTTCTAATGGTGCTGATGATGATTCTTATATAAACAATTGTGATGACTCTTCAGACAACTTCATCTCTAATGAAACTATCGGAAAACAAATAAACATATTGGCAAATTTGGTGTGTATTGTATTTGATCAACATTTTCAAACCAGCTTCTTGGCAAATTCATTATTGATAAAAATATCCAATCATATTGGTACACATTTAGCATTTTGGAATTACGAAAATGGTATTTTGGTATTAGCATTATCAGCTTTGACAATGTCTCTATGGCAGATTATGCCTTTGTTACCTATAAATTGAATTACAATGGAACAACATACTATTGTATGTTGGTCTGATGACATTTGGTGGGTATATAATATAATATCAACAGATACAACCTGACCCTTAAATTACTTTATCTACATCTCTAGTAAAGATTCTGAAACAGTAAGCTTATTCCCAACATTATAATAATAAAAAAACATAACACCCAAATGGTGTTATAATGTTGTACTAAGCTTCATAATAACACTCCTTCGCTTTTTAAATCCCTTTCGCGCCAAGGGCTTACTCATCAGACAGCCATAATTTTCACAGCTCAATAAGTAGTAGTATTATGAAATTAAGAAAAGAACATGGTCATTCACGCATGTTTCACTACCACAGCGCTGAAACTTTTCATAAATTTTATGTTCTTAGAACACCCCTGGTTTAAGAATCTTTTATAGAGGATGGGTGTAGATAAAGTCTTGTATGCAACTGTTTATAATTAGGTATTAAAACACTCATGTGATACTATTATATACCACATTCCTCTTAATCTTAGTCTTAGTAGAATGGCGGGCTGTTTCCGCAACTCGACACCCAGTGCCTATTTTGCGTGGGGATTGGCATCAATCCTGCCATCCCAGCTCCTCCAGGAAGCTCAGCAGTCCCTGAATGTTGCTGCAGGCCTCTACTATTGTCTTCGGGCTTCCCATTAGAGAAGTCCTTTGTCTTGCAACGCCCCTGCACACCAGTAGAACATGGGCGCTCGTCTCCTCGTCCTCCAGGCAGGCTCTGCACAGAGGGCTGTCAGAAATACCTATATTACAAAGGTGTTTGTTGAAATACCCCTCATTCTTTAACAGTGACATAAATAACTATTAAGATTTAGTCACTCTTTGGATAACTGGACTCTGTGAAAGTTGCTTAACCATCATAATCGCTGACTGGAGGCACTCACTCACTTTTAGTATCCATAAGTTGGCATTAAATACTTTTGTTTGTACAGGTGGATGTTATGGGCCAGCAATCATCAGCTATGTTGCAAGTAGCAAAGGCGCAGCTTGACCACTCTAAATCTTTGGAGCGTTTTGCAGAAGCTTCATACTTACAGGTAAAAATTATCTAATAGCCATATACAAATTATGAAATGTATAGGAAGCAAACATAATGTGTCCAGATTGATGGTTAGCAGCTAATGACTTATAAATTTGTATGCAGTCTTTGTAAAGCTGTGGCTACACTAATAAGGCGACCAAGACCAATAGTTTTTTGATTGCAATGGTCTACACGAGTTCGTTTTCACGAAATCACCGTCTCGTAGTAGCAGTCGCATTAGTAGAGCTGCTGTGGTCTTAGGCGAAGAACATGTCTGCCTGGACAAGATCCTCCTTTTAAAGAAAAAAATCTCAAAAAACACCTTACTTATGTTAAATCTTTGTTTACCAGGCTCTTGCTGTGGACCGCATAGCTGATACTTTTGAAAACATTAGTTCATCTGTGCACGAAGTTGGAAATGCCCTTCTAGGCATTGGTTACACAATGAATAGAGGTTATCCCCCAGCAGCACCACAGATACGACAAAATTCAAATATATTCAGTTAATAAACAAAAAGATAATGTAAATATTGGAAAATTAGTTTTTAGGGAATATATTTTTTTATGGGATCTTATCGTAGTCATTCCCACTTCCCACTGTTGTGATATAAATGCTGACGCTCTACTGTGCGTAGTCAGATACTTTTTTATTTGATCCGAGTATGTAAAGTCTCGTTCTCAATACGTCCTCAGCACTCTTTGCTATCTGGGCAAATCACAAATCTAGTTGTTGGGAATCCATACTTTTACCTGGGACGAGATTTTAAAAAATCAGCAAGATTGTACATAGATAATTGTATGTTATTTAATTATTCACTGAGGTCAATTCTGGCATTATTCTCTAAAGCTAAACTTAAATTTGATAACAGTGCATCCCTGTCATTGGGTACGGCCAGAGTGCACTCAGATTCAGATTCAGAAAACAAGCGGGAGAAATAAACAGTGTAGTCTAAGCAGGTTGCCTGCTGCCACTATGGCCACCCTGCTTTAACTACACTGTTTATTTCACGCGCTTGTTTTCGGAGTCTGAATCTGAGTGCACTCTGGCCGTACCCATTCTCTATACAGAATGAAAAAGGACAGACTAATGTTAAATTTAGTTTTAAGTTTAGAGAATCACGCCAGAATCGACACCATTGTCTAACTACTTAAAAATAAATTCTGTATTGTTATATGAATCAAAGTTAGTAAGTTCTTTGTATTCATTTATTTATATTTACCAAATTGTACCTAATCCATTTTATTGTGATACTCCACTATGAGTATAATATTATATAAGTTAACATATTATAATGGTGATTTAAAATGTATTAAACCTATGGTGAATCGATATAGTGAATGAGCAGATCTAAAAAGTTTGTTTGCCTTTTAAATGATAAGTTGCTTGAAATCGACTTCTTTTCTTCCTATTATTGAAATTTAACTAAAGTGCATGCGTTACCGACCGTCACACCAAACGGTAACACCAGTGTTATGGTGAGGAAAATTTGTTACCCGACTGCCACACAAAGTTCAGTGTGAAGTGGGTAAACCTTGATTTCCATTAGTGTTACCGTTGGGACTATATACTTACATACATACATATATAGTTACATACGACAGTGCAAGTTAAATAAAAGCTTGTAAAAAAACTCGTATTAGTCAATCAGAAAATAATGGTTTTCAAGTATCCCTACCGTTATGAATGAAACTTATGTACCAGGGCTTTATGACTCCGAAAGAGATACTTATTTCAATGCATCCCCGACCTTTACACTGGTGTGACAGGGTTCTCATCCGTAAGTCCGTAACACTAGTGTTATGTTCTGGAAAAAAAAATCGGAATTATTTCGATTAGAGAGTAAAATATTACAGTTTTCGAAAAACAACATGGTGACACAGCCAAATTGTGAAGTGTTGGCACTCCTAGTTGAACAGTCCCCTTCTCAGGGGACGATCGCTTCCCACTACCACACCCTCGCTCCCGGCATGCATTGGGGGGACCTCGGTCCTCAGAATATATGCCGGGTAACCGGTGCAGACGTATTGTCTGGTTTTTACCGCCCTGTTCAGGGCGTTAGGTAGGGCCCTGCTCATCGAGCCCCAAGGCTAGCTGAAATGAGCAGGGAGGAGTCCCAGATACCTTCTCGCTCCCCCGGTGATCAAAGTAAGCGCATAGCATTTTCCAGGCATACAAAAGGGGCACGATCGCATCAGATAAAGCTTCAGATCAGCCTTATGGTCAGAGACGTCCCCTCACGGGTGTGTTTTAGTCAGTACGAGGCTGTAGGAAATTTAGGTTTCACACCCCGCCTGAGAGGGATACAAAAAATACAGCCTAGAATTTCTTTTATTTTGGCTATTCATCCGATTATTTCTGCATATGCGTCAATTGGTATTGTATTGCAAGTTACGACAGAGTTTCGTCGTTAAAGGTACAACTCGACCTTCCCAGACGCTTCCGGCAATCGCTAAATAAAGAATGAATAGCACATACAACTAACTCCCTTCCAGTTCCTTGAGATCGTTATCTTGTAGAAATTACTCACCTAAAGTAACAAATATAAAAATAAAAATCATATCACCTATTATACCAGCAGTGCCCATACATTTTCTTTCCCAGAATATGGTTGCGTACGCATTACAAGTGGCTATCTTATCAGGTGTTGATTGATAACGCTTGTTTTATCATTACACGTTTTGTTGTCCGCTGCTCCACTTTAGCGGTTGTTTCTAGTGCAGTTTCACTCACTGGAAAATTATTGATCTCTACAATGCGAATAAACAATTCGAGTGAAACAATCGTGTTGAATCGTAAAAAATGGCGTTGAAGAATTGCTATACCGCCTTTTCTATGTTCGTGCTGTGTTTCATAGGTTGTGTCACTGGTGGTGATTTGTGTCCGAAGGAATGTGACTGTGATATGGACAATGGGTTGAACAGAGCCACCTGCATTGATCAAAACTTGATCAGTGTGGATGTGGGTGTGCCTAAAGAGGTACAAGTTTACATCCTCACCCACAATTTAATCAGCGAATTGGATAACTTTTGTTTTAAGGTGAATCATAGAATATACGAGTTTGTTACAAGATAATTATTTTATACCTCAATTGCAAATAACAGAGATAATTGATAATTATATATATATATATATATATATATTTAATTGCTACGATATAATCAACGATTGGTTTTATGTTTCCAGGATGCAGGATACTTGTCTTTGGAGATGTTGAACTTGTCGTACAATAAGATATTTTGGATTGGCTTACATGCCTTTTCTGGTTTGGAAAAGATTGTTCACATTGATTTGAGCAATAACAGACTTAGATATCTACCCTCAGACCTATTTTGGGATACACCAAAACTTACTTACTTGGACTTGTCGTCCAATATTTTCGAAAAGCTCAAGAATGAGCCGTTTTTGATGCATTCAAATTTACAGGTAAGATGACAATTCACCAGCACAATGTCCGCGCAGACGTTCATTAAATTTAAACAACAACGAAATTCGTCGTGTCTGAGTGCAAACGTAGGTTATTGTTTATTTCGAAATATGTCACTTACTTGAACTGCCTAAGGTTTTATCTTATCATTAGTTTTGGTTGAGTAAAATTAATTTAATAAATGTCTCATTTGTCTTTTCAGGTGTTAAATTTAAATAGTTGCCACATGATGTCATTACCCGAGAGATTGTTCACAAGACTGCCGAATTTGAAAAAGTTAGATTTGAGCGATAACTATGTTGTAACGTTCAGTGCTCAAGTTCTCGCTCCCTTACGCAAATTGCAAAGAATAGAACTAAAAAGTGACTATTTGAAGTGCACAGCGGACTTTATGGCTGTGGAAATCTGGCTAATTGCCCATGGTGTAACTTATAAAAAACAATGCAACAAGTTGGCGCCCAATATGTCGGAAAAAATTATATCAGTCGTAAATGTTGAAAAAGAAGATGTCGACGTCAACGACGTGTGGAACATCACGAAGCCTGCAACGGACCTAGGTCACGACGAGACCACTACGCCTATGACTCCATTCCAGAAATTCGATAAGGAATTTTCAGCCTTCCAAGCGTTCATTTTAGGTTTGGAATTGGGACTGGCGTTTGGCGTCATTGCAACGTATATATGGTTGCGGCAGTTCTGTAAATGTGGTCAACTGACTTGCTTGCAGCCGCGCCGTCGACAAAATAGAAGAACGCAGATACGTCGAGATGGTGATATGAGGGCTGGTTTGCTGTGGAATAACGTGATAAGTCCCGATTTGGAGACGCCGCCTTCATTTAGGAGGCAAGTATCTTTGCCTGATCGCACTGCGCCATATCAGACGTATGGAGTACCTATTGTGAGAGAAGCGGCTCCATTACAGGTCGACGCTATTCGATTACCTGATAGAGCGGAAACTCCACCGCCCCCATATCACGAGTGCCGCATCAATATATGACATAGTTGTTATCAAAATAGTGCAGACTGATCTTTGTTTTGTGATTTGTTTATTTAGTCCAAAAATATTTTCGCAGTTTCGTCAGTGTTATCGATAAAATATAGATAAATAAGAGACGTCGTTAAGTGTGTGATTGTGACAGAGTTGGAATGTGTAATATTGTGTGTAGTTTTAAGTTACATAGGGATTTATTGATAAAATCAAACAAAATAAATGTAAAATATAGCTATATTTTTAAATACCGTTATCACATTTGATATTTCATAGTTATCTGTCAATAATATAAAATTACGATTAAAAATATAATCTAAAAAAATTCAGACTCATACAGAATTTAATATAAATTCTTTAAAAATAAACAATTTGGGTAACTATATAAACTTTTTTTGTACATTTCATAACACAACCACAATGGCAAATGATTTACGTTTTAGTATGGCATGACAATGGCTTTATGAGAACTTAGAACCAACCAGAAATTCGATGCTATTCACCATTAATTTATAAAAAACCTGTGATTTTTTTATCCATGCATGCAGTGTAAAAAAATAATTTGTATTTTAAAATTGGAATGTTAAAGTAAATATATATATCTATTCCAAAAATAACACTGTAGAAAATTAACATACATTTTGGTTGTATAAAGGAACACAAGATTGGAAATGTGCAAAAGTTTAAGGAGAAGAAAAATAAAGTATCTTTTAATACCTAAAATTAATAATTGAGATTTATGATATTTAAAAATGGACATAAAATGCTATCTACAATAAGCTTGCTTTTAAAAATAAAACTTCGTTTAGTTGACGTAAAATTATTACGAATTAATTTATCCTTGCTTATTTAACACATAATATTTACAATTATAAATAAAATAATAAACATTACGTAATCAGGCACATCATGGTATGTCTGCATTCATCAATACATCCTTATAAAAATATTTCTACTTCTAAAAATATCTTAGCTGCCTATCTTAATATAAGTATTTGAGTTTAAAAACATCAAGAAGCGTAGGTATTTAAAGTTATAATTATCATCTACGGTTGGTCGATTTACCATTACTTTCGTTACTCTATCCTGGAACATTATATTTTAAATCATTGAGTGTAGTACGAGGAAAGAAAAATAATTGAATGAAATTTATTACAAATATCTTATCGTAGATAAAATGTTGCGATATTTTATTTACTATAATAAACGTATTTATGAGTTTACAAAACCCAATATTTAGAGCGGTTTTCTTCGTGTAATTAATTAATTAAGCGTAAGTAAATGTTTCTCGAACTGTAACCCCCTTATTAATAAACGAGGAATAAGCTTAAGACTAGTTACGACCTGTTTTGTTCATATCCCTCAAATGCCACTTGTCATTCGATGGACAGAGACAAAACATGGAGTAACTTATCCAAGCTTATTCTTTGTTTATTAATAAGGGGGTAAGGATCTAAACACAAAATTGCAAAACAAGGCGATCTGATACTGATTAAATCCAGCTGCAAGATCGCAATCAAATTCCAAATATTTGGGAATAACCATGTAAAGTGCCACCATCAGGAGGAGGACACTTGTGGTCAATTTATACTAGCGCACGTCGAAGCGCATCGAAGCGTCATTCAGAAAACAGTAACAAATAATATTCCCACTTATTCATCATCATCAGCCTATTAACGTCCCCACTACTGGGGCACAGGCCTTCCATATGGATAGAATACGAAAATTAGGCCATGACCCACCACGCGGGCCCAGTGCGGATTGGCGGGTGCTAACGACTGCAGATGCAGCCGGGACCAACGACTTAACGTGCCTTCCGAAGCAACGCGGGCCCAGTGCGGATTGGCGGGTGCTAACGACTGCAGATGCAGCCGGGACCAACGACTTAACGTGCCTTCCGAAGCACTGAGGAACTCGAGGTAGAAGATTTTTGGGCACCATTCCAATGACCGACCACTACGAAAGTTGCTTGACATCAACGATCGTAGCCGAACGTGCTACCCACCTGCGCCATCGAGCTTCGCCACCCTTATTACCGCAATGTAATGCACATATTCCTTCTGATATAAGAAGTCCGCGCACGAATACGCCTAATTATTATCAGCTCAGAAGGAATATGTGCAGATAGGGGTGAATTTGCTTTGTTCCTGTTTTCTGGATGACGCTTCAATGCGATTTGACTCTGCGCTAGTATGTACTGAACATTAGCATCTATAAATCTCATAATGAATGATTCTGGCTTATACTTTGTAATCTACCCCAAAATTCACTGACTTTTTAGTTCATTTTTATCAACTTTTATCACGAGAAAATTTCACAAGCTTACGTAATTATTCTCTAGTGTTAATTTAGCTATATAATTATTATTGTAGTTCGAGTTACAAAAATTTTGGGTATGCCAGATAACAGTATTCTGACAGAATTTGTGCGGATAGAGAATGGGCGTGGCGAAAAACGGAACTAATATTAAGATTTTTATATGGCAATCCAACCCTGCCGCCATCTGTCAAACGTCCAAGTTTTGTACTGATACAGATTTGTTTGTTGTTATGATTTCTTGCGGTTTTTTGTATTTAATCATGTCTAAAAGGGGTAAAACCTTACAAATACGGTAGAAAAGCACTACTGCGCCCTCAAAACTAAATCCCATTCTCTTTCCGCACAGAATCTATTATTCTATCTTTTTGGAAGTAAAATAGTTACGAGCTCACTTCGTCGTTCTCCAGCGCCAATTGACTAATATTGACATAGTCCGGGTGTCTGGAGAACACATCCACTAGGTTACTGAAGGTCGGTCTTGCATCAGGGTTATATGCCCAGCAGTCCAACATCACTTGGTAGATTTCATCGGGACAGTTTTCTGGCCTTTCGAGACGTTGGCCATTCTCCACTATTTGTATAGCCTGTGCAGGAATTAATGATGGATAAAAAAAGGGCTTGAGCACTCGAGAAGTTCATTCATTTTGTTAGAGTGCTCAAGCCCAAAGAAATTTGGGTAAATAGGATAAATAAAGGGCTTATGGCCGCAACCGGAGAAGTCAATGATTTTTAAGTTTCACTCAAGTTGATGCTCTCTTTGTGATAACAATATAATGACACAACTCATTACTTTTAGTTAAGCATTAAATTAATGTTTTTTTTAGTAAATCAATATATGGGGTAAGAAGTATTCATGGATTTTAGATGTGTCCATCACATTTTGACAGTTATTCATCGAAAGCATGCATGTTATCCTAGCGTAATAGGGATTACCACGAAATTCCCTAAAGTGAAATTGCTTACACTTACCTCAATGCCCCTAATGTCACCATAAGGTTGTTTCCCATAAGAGAACATTTCCCATAATGTGACACCATAACTCCAAACATCACTGGCGTGGCTAAAGGTGCCGTAGTTGTATGATTCCGGTGCGTACCACTTTATGGGCCATTTGCCTCCGTGGTGCGCTTTATAATAAGAACTATCCGTGGATAACGCACGGGATAGACCGAAATCGCTGATTTTGGCTTGTTGTCTGAAATGAAATGATAGAGTTTAGTTTTATTTGATAAAAAAACCTATCAATTGCTGTGAATAACACATCTCATTATATAAAAATAATCCCTATATCCCATGGCCACGCTAAAACTTAATAACGACTTTACTGAATTTTTTACTTTATCGAACAAACTGAGAACACTTGTAGGCTAAAATTAAAAGAGTTGCATAGAAAATAAGAAAATTTTAAGAAAACAATTTATACATTTAAACGTTTAGCGGGTCCGTTAGTTATACTTAATTCGCGAAAAAGAGCCGGATTGTATAAATATTATATTATGTAATGTAAGTTATTGCATTAAATATAGTTAACAATCTTTATAGAAAACTAGCGGTCACCCGCGACTTCCACCGCGTTAGGTATACTTTTTTGACAATCCCACAGGAACCTTACACTTTTCCCGGATAAAAAGAATCCTATGTCTCCTTCCAGGTCAACTATATGCGTACCAAAATTCACCCAAATCCGTTCAGTAGTTTTTGAGTGATTGAGTAACACATATACAAACATAACATTTATAATATTACTAGTGGCACGCCCTCGCTTCGCTTCGGTGTAGAGCTGTAGTGTAGGTAGAAGACTATAGTTTTTGTTCTCAGGCTTTTATTATACACAATGAATTTCTTTATATAATTATTTTTCTCACCCTTTAAACCTTCCTTAGACCTCTACGAACATTTTAAGACCAAGATAAGATAAATCCGTTCTGCCGTTCTCGAGTTTTAGCGAGACTAACGAACAACAATTGATTTTTATTTATATAAATATAGTAGGATTACCTGCTGGCTAGTAGAATATTTCTGGCAGCTAGATCTCTATGCACGAATCGTCGCCGTTCCAAGTACCGCATGCCGGCCGCGATCTGACATGCCCATAAACGTAACTCGTAGCCCGGAGACACTTTATCCGGGTGCCTGATCAGGTATTCTAGGAGGGAACCAAGTGGTACCAACTCTTGAATCATCGCCAACGGAGGACCCTGGGAATGAGGAATTTCATCATTAATACAATACAAGGTTGACTGAAGCGGATATCAGAGGCCCGAATTTTTGACAGCTCCGTGACGTATCGCATCGTCAGTTTCTATGAAAACTAAGCAGCGGAAGCACCTATCGTACGTAAAAAAAAGGGTTTCCATTCGAAATTTGCAGACGACCATACGTTACGGAGTCGGGGCCTGATTTAGGGCCGTATTACAGAATGACAACTAAGTGTTGATCTATACTTGAGTACAGTTAGAAAGGGATGTCGCTTTATATAGCACATAGCGACATCCCTTTCTAACTGTATTCAAGTAAAGATTAACGCTTAGTTGTCATTCTGTAATACGGGCCTTAAGAGTTCTGACCGCCCTCTCAAAATTACTATTACGGCGCTGTCATCATCACTGAGACATATCAAAGTAGGCGGGTGCATTTTTAAGTTCGCGTAATGGAAGGGTAGATTATAAAAATAGGTCAGTATAAATGCCAGATAAATATCGGGTTTGATATAAAAGTAACTATTAAGGCCAAAAACTAAACAAAAATACTATCTAGCACTGGTTGTTCTGTGGCGTGAAGCTATTGGTTGTTTTCCAATTACAGAGCATAATGCGACTCAGTGGCGCACAAAGCCGAATTATGCTGATGCATAATTGGAACGTGAATTAGTTTTCAAATGCACCAGCAGAGTGCACTAAGTTCAGTGTTGAAAAAAAAGCCAGTTTGTACCTTCATCCATACTTATATTTATTTTTTTAACAGTTTGAATTAACTTTGATTATTTAAAAAAACTATTTAATGAAACGAAACCTTTAATAATTTTTCAACAATAAATAATATTACTTACGATAACATATTAATAAAACATTTCGATCAATGCCAACTTAAAGAAAAAACACTTGTTAATTTTCTGTCACTGAGTTGGTACGATTGCACACATCACACGAAAGCATCACTTTTGTGAGTGCTCGATTGTGCGAAGCGTTGCTGTAGTTGAAACACTCAACGTTAAGCATTATGCCGCATAAAGCGCTATAATGCTGTAATTGGAAAACTACCATTGTCGGTAAAATAATGTTTGTTACGCTTTCACGCCTAAACTATTAAAGCAATTATGCTGATTTTTTTGCCGTGTATATAAAAGTTCATAGTCATCAAATTATTACAGAACGTCGACTAGAAAAGACAAATACAGCATAACATTTAAACAAAGTTTAACGTTAGTCCACGTTTTGGAATTTATGTCCCCACTGCTGGCTTACAGGTCGTCGCTATGGACGGCACAGGAAGCCATGACCCATCACCAGAGGCGTATTTTGGAATCTGGCGCCCTAGGTCATTTCAAATTTGCAGCGACATCATGAGGCAGGCCTCGCATAGATCTATCGCCCGACTATATAGAAAATATTCACAGAACTATCGACGGACTATATAGACAATATTCACAGAATTATCGCCCGCCTACATAGACAATATTCACGGAATTATCGCCCGCCTATACAGGGTTAATTTTAAAACACCAACAACCTCTTAGGAGGTGATTCTACCCATCAACAGGAACAACTTTTATTATGGGACCAACTCTGAAATCGCGAAAAAAAACAGCTGTTTCATATATTTCGAACGATTAGCTGTTGTGTTGGTATTATAAAATTAACCCTGTATAGAAAATGTTCACAGAACAATCGCCCGATTATATAGACAATATTCACCAAGGAGACGCCCTGCAGACGCACGATGCAACGGTGCCGCAGTGACACCATGAGCCTAGCTTCACACAGGAAGTCCCTCCGGGTGGCAGCAGAGTGGTGCGCGTGCAAAGTCTTCACTGCGACGGGAGTTCCGTTCAGAGTGCCGCGCAGCACTGAACCGAATTCGCCCTCTCCCAATACGGCGCCCAAGGTCAGTGAACTCATTGGGATGAATTCTGTATGATAAAATTTACCATAAGAGCTAAAGACCAAAACATACAAGGTGCAAAGAAAGAAAGAAAAATCATTTATTGGCCTTAAAAACACAAGTGTGTAACAATAAGAAATTATATAACGATAAAAATAAAAACAAACAGAGAACAACAATATGCAGAAAGAAGAAAGACCAATCAGGACCGCCCCTCAGCTTAATGCTGTTACAATGGGACGGAAATATTCCCACCGTAACAGCGCTGGTATTCTGGTAGGGCCTGTACGAGATTGCTAGAGTATAAGAGCAATTACACTTAGTTGTTACCCCAAATACGATTGCTTATGGAATTCGGACAAATGACTAGGTGTAGAGTCGAGTAGGCACCGATTCGTTTTGCTTTCCCCTAATTTGTCATTATTAGAACGCGGGTAAAGGGTCGTTTGCCTGTGTTACAGTGCCCGAACGTGAATAAAACAATGTCATTATTGCATCGGGTGCCCGAAATCGAGTAATGTCTTTCGTGCACCCGAATAAGCGCTAACGACCAAGTATAATTGCGACTTTATGTATGTTTTGGGCTTTTATCACTAGAGCGCTTTTTTTCTGCGTGCGTTAGAATCCCAACGTAAGCGCTTTTACTGGTTGAAATTTCTGTACGTTCAGTGAAAAGTGATCTAATTCGATTTAGATTGATTTTATTAGTTATTATGAATCTCCGAAAAATTATTAACATAAGCTGTATCACTATCAGTGTGGTGTAAAATTATTTAAGTTCCATTATGTCACTATACACTAATACAAAGTTTTGTGCTTAGTGATAGAACTGGGTTAATTATTTAATTAAAAAGAAACTACATACATTATTTCTAAAACTGGTAAACTACCTGATTATTACTAATGTTATCTATCACAAAAAATAACATTCATCGCATTATCGCCAATTAGCAGTTTTTTTTCTTTAAATGCGATTTCCCAAATATCGCTATTTTCGAATTATATCACTTTTCACTGAACCTACAGATTTCTACTTTACGTCCAGCTCCCAGAGCTTAAAATACAATCATGCACAATAAATAGCCTAAAAGTTACTGGTTAGCTCATTTCAGTGATTAGAGTATATATTCCTTATTTACCACACAACGAACATTAGCGAACGTAAGCTTTTTCTACGGGTGTTCACATCACACTTTAAAAAGTGCCCGCGTACAAACATATGGGAAATGTCAAAGGGTCTATTCGGAAGCGTCAGATTGAGAAACAACTGTCATGCTCGTAAACAGGTGTCACTTGTGAAGTAAATTTTAGTTCTTTCTTTATCATATTTGTTTCTTAGGTTTTCACGCACATCACTCATTAAATAAAACTAGTTTTTATGATATGCACGAAACTTTATTTATTTATTGACGTTTCGTAGCCTTTACAGGCTTCGTCGTCAGAATAAGCTAAAGGTACGAAGGCTGTAAAGGCTACGAAACGTCAATAAATAAATAAAGTTTCGTGCATATCATAAAAACCTCCTTCGTACCTTTAGCTTATTCTGACGACGAAGCCTGTAAAGGCTACGAAACGTCAATAAATAAATAAAGTTTCGTGCATTAACCCGTAAAAACTAGTTTTATCTTTCTTTATCAGTTTAAATTTTTTTTTATTTGATAAGTTAAAATCCTACCTTGCAAAGTAGACAATTGGCCATCCGAATTTATTGATATTTCGTTGTAATTCTCCGCCAGTGAGACAACGGCGCCGTTATTGGCCGGCACTTTGTACGTCTCGTTGTCATCTTGAGAAGAATCATCATTGTTGTTCAATGTGTCCGTTGCAAAATCGGATGAGAAGGAAAGATTCCGCGTGAGTAATTCGAACGCATTGTTATTAGATGGAGGTGAGCTCGGGTTAGACATTTTCTCATCGTTCAGAATGTCGTGCTTCACTAAAGATAGCGTCTGGTTCATTGCAACGCGACTTGGTGACGACTTCTTGGTCCGCGGCATTGTGGAGAACTGAAAGTTTATGTAGATTCAGTATAGGCTTCCTTAAGGTAGATCATTCAATTCTCGGATAAAAGTTATCTGCTGAATACTTAATTACATATAGAAATGTAAACTGTCACTCTAAAATCAATGTGAATTAACGGAAATGAAAAATTATTCAATTTTCGGATAAAAGTCATCTGCTGAATACACAATTACTGTAGAAATGTCATCCGTGCATTAAAATGAACGTGAATAAATTAAAATGAAACATAATTAACACATCTTATTTTTTCCAATTATAATATATAACATCAGATGCAATTTTTATCCAGGGGTTGATAAATCAGCCCTATACTTATTATCTCTTTCACGAGAAAGAGTTAGTAGAGCGAGTTCTTTATCAGACAATCGCTTTTAGAAGAGTATAAAAAAACGGACACTCAAGAAAATGGGTTGCCATTGCTCAAAGTAACTACAAAATACAATCATCGTTATTAACTCATTTTCGTGAGTAGAGAATAGTTTCTGAAAAGACTTCATTATTATTGACAGAAGTATGTATAGCTAAACCTTCAGATAAAGTAGATTTAACCGGGCTTACGGACGCGTTTAAATAACGGGTATCAAATAAGCTATGTTAACAACATCATCAAAAATATTTGAAAAAGGCTATGATAAAACGCCGCGTGGGTTTTTATGAAAAATTTAACATTTTTAATGAAAATCAATGTGGTTTTAGGAAGAACCACTCCACCTCACTGGCTGTTTATGAATTTATAAAGCATGTATTAAGCCTCTGAAGTTTCTGTGCCATTGCAGTGCGTTACATGGTCACTGTATTTTTCTGTACCACCTTATTTCTTTGAATGTGATATGCAATAAATGAATGAATAAATAAATAAATTACTATCAAGACTTACTTCAGGCAACGGAGGTTTAGGTTTTGGCGGTACAGCAGTGATCAGCCGGGTCGGCAGGCCATCAGGGACAGTGCTGTAGTGTTCTATCAACCTTTCCAGTGATTCTAGATAAGGTCCATCATCTATGAAAAGCCAGTGACTCTGAAACGTAAATACGTATTAATTACTTTTTCATCCCACCACCTCGGAAAGTGTAATTTTGCGCTTCGAAATCTGGCTGGAAAATTCTATTTTATTCGCTTGAGCGGCAAAGTAGATTTGAATTTAGAACATCACATATAATGAGTACTCAATATAATTGTAAATTCAAAACGTCATTAAACCTATTTAATGTAACCTCTATGGTGCCAAATTTATGATTAGAACTTTTTAAATTGTGAAAAAATTTAAATTTGGAACCTTCTTGGTTTCTTTGTTTTATTTGCGTGCTTCGCGCCATTCTAGTTTTTCACGTTTTATTGCTTAAATATTTTGTCATTATAAATTGTTTTCTTTTTCATTTTGTCATTTCCTCGCTGAGGTGGGATGAAAAGTTACGTATTGCACTCGAGTGGAAAGATTTTTCACCTTGTGCTCGTTTGTTTCCCTCGCTGACGCTCAGGATTCTAATTTAGAATCACTCGCTGCGCTCGTGATTCAACTTTAGAATCCTTCGCTTGCTCGGTCATCCAAATCGAGCACGCGGTTAAAAAGGAACTTTCCACTCTTGTATAATAAATAACTATTGTGTTGGAGAGATCTTGATATTTTACACTCATTGATGATTTGGTGTTGCTATTGTTAGTCAATAGTAACATGTTACCAATAAAATTGTTTATCACCTATATCAGGGCACAAAAACATTCTCTCCACTAATAGACAACTATTTCTGTGGGAAACTCATAAAAAGCATTAATGTTTTACTTTCGTCCTGCATCCAATGCGATATTAAAGAACACAAATAAGAAAAGTAATTTGTACGCGTCTTTTATCCAAGCGATACTTTTATTTAAAGCAAAATCCATTCCATAGATAGAAATTCAAAATTATATGATGTGAAAATAACTAATGTCTTTTATTTTTTTTATTTACGGCTATATATACATTTGGTTGTGTCTTTTTTCAATTTACGTTTAAAATATGGTGTAACTTCGCGTTTTCTTACTTGAGTACAACAAACAAAATCTACAAACAAAAACGACCTATATGTAGGTATATAATTGTTTTATATTCTAACGAGCCTTTTTCCAGATGATGAAGTTGTACGGCGTGTTCTTGCTGAGCAGGGTGAGTACGTACGCGCTCGTTTACTGTACCGCACCAGGGGTCTACTCTCTTTCTCCGAAACGGACTTTCGATAACGAAGTTCAAACGAAATTTAATTTCGTCAATATCAGGTTATACTTAATTTGAACGATAAACTATTAAATTGAAGCTTTCTTTGAGTAGGCTTAGAATTCTACATCTACACCTCAATCAATCACCTCAAATATTCCGACGACGCATATTATAATTATTAAAAACGAACCAGAAACATAGTAAGAAAATTGAGAAGTTTCGATCGAAATTTCGTTTTTCGTTGAATTAGAGTCTCTTCTTCCTCGTAACCTCATGACTGAGGGTCGCGACAGCATGAGGGCACCCGGTGTACCAGCTCCCTCCACGTATTGCGGTTTTCGGCCAACCGGATAGATGACTGAATGTCAGTTTGGCAGACTTCTTTGACTGCATCAGTCCATCGGGCGGGTGATCTTCCGCGGCTCCTTTTTCCTTCCACATGACCTACGACGATAAGCTTTTCAAGATTGTCTGGTTCTCGTCGGGCCACGTGTCCGAAGTACTGAAGAAGTCGCTGCATACATACAGAAGACAGGCGGGATGTTATGCCCATTTCGGAGAGAATAGAAATGTTGGTGCGGTGCTCTGTCCAAGAAACCCCTAGCATTTTCCGCCAGCACCACATCTCAAACGCGTCGATCTTGGTTCGAATACGTGCCTTTAGCGTCCAGGTCTCTGAAGCGTACAGAAATATAGAAAAGATAAGGGTCCGCATGAGTTTGACTTTCGTCGTCTTGCTTATTCCTCTGTTCCTCCAAACCTTTTCTAACCGCTTTACAGCCGATTTTGCAATCTGAGCTCGCCTTACAACCTCCTTTTCGCAGTCGCCGTCACTGGTAATCATAGAACCAAGGTAAATAAATTCCTTTACGGTTTCCAGATCCTGCAGCTCCTAGGTTCTCTGTAGTGTGCCCGCTCTATCTACAAACATCAGCTTAGTTTTGGCACGATTTATTTTGAGACCGTAATCAGCACTTATTGTCTCTACTCTTTGCAAAAGCTCAGCAAGTTCACTTTCGTTGGCTCCAATTATGGTAGTGTCATCTGCAAAGCGTAGGTTATTAATAAGGTGTCCGCCAATTTTTATACCAGCATCCCACCCCTCCAGCACTCTTCGCATAATGTGTTCGCCGACGAGATTAAAAAGTTGTGGCGAAAGGATGCAACCTTGTCTTACTCCGCGGTTAGTCCGGAAACAAGTCGATTCCGAATCCTCTATACGTACTTTGGACCTTCCGTCAAGGTACAGTTTCTGAATTAGATAGGTCAAATGTTCCGGAACACCCATCTCGCTCATTACGCTAAACATTTTGTTCCAGCTGATACAGTCAAAGGCTTTCGCGTAATCAATGAAACACAGAGCCATTGGAACATTGAACTCCCGGCACTTCTCTATCATGCGTCTCATGTTTAAAATTTGCTCCCGTGCTCCCCTGCCTTTAACAAACCCTGCCTGTTCCTTTGAGATTTGTCCGCCAATGTAGTTTTCTAGACGTTTATTGATGATGTGCAGGAGCACCTTGCTTGCATGAGATGTAATCGAGATAGTGCGGTAGTTCTCACATTTGCGCGTCGACCCTTTCTTGTGCAGCGGGACCACCATCGACTCCGTCCAGTCCTCAGGCCACACTCCAGATTTCCAGACTTTTTGGCAGATGGAATGCATGAGCCTAGTTCCCTCTGTGCCCATTGACTTGAGCATCTGCGCGGACAAACCATCGCCACCGCATGCTTTTGGCTTAAGACGCGCGAGTGCAGCTTCTACTTCATGGAGAAGGATGTCAGGTTCTTCCTCGTTGTATTGCACTAGTTGGTCGGCATCGTCATTGCTCTCTTTATACAGCTGTTGACAGTACTGTCGCCATCTCTCAAGCACAAGATTTTTATCAATCAGAGGGAAGCCCTTTTCGTCCTCAATCGTCCAGTTCTTCGGTTTGAAGTCCCTAGCCAGAAGTTTCACCTTTGCAAACAGGTCCTTAGTGTGTGCACGACTCGCAGATTGTTCCATCTCCTGACATACGGCGTCGATTGAGGCGTTTTTATCTCGTCTGCATAGTCTTTGCACTGTGCTATGAAGTTCACGATATCGTGCCCTCGCAGCTTCGGAACTCAAACCGTTTCCTTTCACGCATCTCATTTCTTCTATAGCAGACCATGCTTCAGCGCTCATCCACTCAGCCTTTGGCTTCAAGGAGTTAGGACTTGTTGCGATTACCTCTTTAGCCGTCTCTAAAAGTACTGATTTCAGCTTTATCCATGAAGCGTTTGGTGATTCGGAGGGAAGTGTGTCTAGGTCTTTTAAACGAGATTCAACTCGTTTTCCGTACTCGCCTTGCAGTTCTGCGGAAACGTTCAACGTCTTTTTGGGTACGTTGCGCTTTGGTGTCCTTAGTCGGATTTTTAAGGATGCTGTTAGCAACTGGTGGTCACTGCCACAGTCGGCACCAGGTCTTGTTTTGGTGGCAAGAATAGAGGAATTCCATCTTCTACTTATCATGATGTAATCGATTTGGTTTCTGTGCTTTCCGTCAGGGGATGCCCATGTATAAAGTCTACGCGGATGCTGTTCAAACCAAGTATTCATTATGCTTAAATCATTTTCGGCACAGAAGTCCAGAAGCATTTGTCCCCGATCATTGCGCTCCCCAAGCCCATACTTCCCCACAATTCCTTTTAGATGGTCATCTGAAGACGTTTTTCCAACCTTGGCATTTAAGTCCCCCAATACGATAGTAATTTCTTTAGATGGGATTCCATGGTAGACTTCGTTAAGTTGATCGTAAAAATTGGTTATCTCTTCTTCAGACGAGCTCGACGTGGGAGCATAGACCTGAATGAGGTTTATAGGATGTGGCCAAGCCGCTAGTTTCAGTCGCACTATTCTGTTACTTATTGTATCGTATCCTTGGATCGTAGCAGCTAATCGTGCAGACACCAGGAAACCAACTCCACTGAAGCTGTTACTGCATGATCCCGAGTTGATGACGGTGACCCCTGTATTTGAGTAATAGTGACCACTTTCTTTTAGGTGCGTTTCGCTTAGACCTAATACTTCTAGCCCACATCGGACCATCTCCCTCTCCACTGTTTCCATTTTACCAGCCTTGTTTAGGCCCCGCACGTTCCATGTGCCTGTCATGAGAGTTTCATGTCTTTTAATGGTTTGCTCGTTAATTTCCGCAACAGTAGTCCAGTTTCTGCAAGTAGCCTGCTGCTTCAACGTCTTGCAGCCGGTAGCCAATTTCACACCATGGGGCCCGGAACCACCATGGCGCCGGGGGTCAGCCGGGTGGCATGACAAACCATTCCTCTTTAAGTGCCTCATGTTGTTTACAAGGGATATTAGTAACGGTAGTTTCCCATTGCTTTCCGTACCAGAATTTTTGGGATGATTTAGACCCCAAGGCCGCTGAGACCTCTTCCAGCTAGTTGCCCAGTTGGGTGTGTGGTTATACCGCCATTGCTCGGTCGCCAGAGCCTCGTTCGTTATCTAACAGGGAGGACCACGAGTAGGTGAGGATGACAATTGGGGCCAGCAAGATGTTTAACACTGTTCTCCCCCCCCCCCCCCCCCCCCCCCGTGAATTAGATAAGGCCTCCTGGTAGTTACACGCCTGGTAGTATCACCTTTCATCTTTTCTGATAATGAAATTGTATGGCGTGTTCTCGGTGAGCTTGGTGACGTTTTGTGGCGTTTACTGTACCGCACCAGGAACATGCCGAAAGCGGGCCGGTCGCGTATATAATAATATATTGTAAAAGTTTTATTTATTGAACGAACCTCTTTCCTGATGGATAAAGTTGTAAGGCGTGTTCTCGCTGAGGATGGTGAATACGTACGCGCGCGTGTGGCGTTCACTGTACCGCACCAGGAACACGCCGTCAGCGGGACAGTCTCGTATTGAATGATATATTGTAACTGTTTTATTTATTGAACGAACCTCTTTCCTGATGATAAAGTTGTACGGCGTGTTCTCGCTGAGCATGGTGAGTACGTACGCGCCCGTGTGGCGTTCACTGTACCGCACCAGGAACACGCCGTCAGCGGGACAGTCTCGTATTGAATGATATATTGTAACTGTTTTATTTATTGAACGAACCTCTTTCCTGATGATAAAGTTGTACGGCGTGTTCTCGCTGAGCATGGTGAGTACGTACGCGCCCGTGTGGCGTTCACTGTACCGCACCAGGAACACGCCGTCAGCGGGACAGTTTCGTATTGAATGATATATTGTAACCGTTTTATTTATTGGACGAACCTCTTTCCTGATGAAAGTTGTACGGCGTGTTCTCGCTGAGCATGGTGAGTACGTACGCGCCCGTGTGGCATTCACTGTACCGCACCAGGAACACGCCGTCAGCGGGACGATCTCGTATTGAATGATATATTTTAACTGTTTTATTTATTGAACGAACCTCTTTCCTGATGATAAAGTTGTACGGCGTGTTCTCGCTGAGCATGGTGAGTACGTACGCGCCCGTGTGGCTTCACTGTACCGCACCAGGAACACGCCGTCAGCGGGACAGTCTCGTATTGAATGATATATTGTAACTGTTTTATTTATTGAACGAACCTCTTTCCTGATGATAAAGTTGTACGGCGTGTTCTCGCTGAGCATGGTGAGTACGTACGCGCCCGTGTGGCGTTCACTGTACCGCACCAGGAATACGCCGTCAGCGGGACAGTTTCGTATTGAATGATATATTGTAACCGTTTTATTTATTGGACGAACCTCTTTCCTGATGAAAGTTGTACGGCGTGTTCTCGCTGAGCATGGTGAGTACGTACGCGCCCGTGTGGCATTCACTGTACCGCACCAGGAACACGCCGTCAGCGGGACGATCTCGTATTGATTGATATATTGTAACTGTTTTATTTATTGAACGAACCTCTTTCCTGATGATAAAGTTGTACGGCGTGTTCTCGCTGAGCATGGTGAGTACGTACGCGCCCGTGTGGCGTTCACTGTACCGCACTAGGTACACGCCGTCAGAGGGACGGTCACGTAAACCGCGTTGTCGACAGTACTCTTCTAGTGTGCGCACTGCTTCGTCCCGATTCAGAGTGCCGTGGTACCAGAGGCTTTTGGACGTTTGTGGAGGATCCGGTGTGTAGTTTTCTACGAGAATAAGTTAATATTTTCATAATATCACTAGCTTTATCATGTCAGACATTCGACTTAGATGCACTTGTGCATGATCAGGCACTCTTGACTAAGATATTACTCTTAACACTTTAATCATTGTTATTACTGGCACGAAACAAAGCTGTTTATGTCAAATATGACACAAATAGCAAAATTGATTAAGACTTAGTTATTATTGCTGATGATCCTTGCGATAACTTAAAACTAACATTCAAAACAATGATACTACAACAACAATAAAACGATAAAAAAACTTACTCAATAACTGATAACATTCTGTGTGTCCGTAGTGCTTTGCTAAGTCTGCAGGTGTGTCTTTTGCTAATGTTCTAGGATGTGATGGTGCTTTGAGTTTAAGGAGGACCTTGAAAACAGAATGACTTGTTAAAGTTTAGGACCTTAAATTATGATTCTCTATAATCGACTGTATCTTGTGAGCGATAAAGGCTTTTTGACAATTAAGTGATGTTTGAAAGATTAAATGATTACTTTAGTATTTATTACCTTGATGCATTCGATATGTCCACGTTGCGCGGCGTCGTGCAGTGGAACTTTTCCCGTGGGCGCGTGCCTCATCTGATAGTTTGCGTTTCCCTTTGTTATTAATAGTTCCGTCGTGCTCGGCAAGTTGTTCTGGCATGTGTACTGCAAAAAAAATCCATTTTAATAATTTGAGAAATGTGATGAACTTACCATCTAGGGATCAATAACGAAAATACACTCTGTATTTTCATTATTGTAATTGACTGTACAAGAATGACAAAAAAGCACGAATTTCGTCGTTATTGTTCAATATGCTACCAGAGGCACAGAGCTTCGGGAAAACTAGCTTTACCCACCCATCAAACATCAGGCCCAGTGTAGATTGATGGTTGCTAAAGACTGATGCAACATCAAGCAGGGACCAACAGCCTAATGCGTCCGAAGCATGGGCGCATTCAAAATCATCATCATCATCATCATCAGCCTATTAATGTCCCCACTGCTGGGGCACAGGCCTTCCCTATGGATGGAATAGGGAGATTGGGCCATGACCCACCACGCGGGCCCAGTGCGGATTGGTGGGTGCTCACGACTGCAAATGCAGCCGGGACCAACGGCTTAACGTGCCTTCCGACGCACGCAGGAGCTCGAGATAGTAAATTTTTGGTCACCCATCCAATGACCGACCACTGCGAAAGTTGCTTAACTTCAACGATCGCAGCCGAACGCGCTAGCCACCTGCGCCATCGAGCTCCTCATTCAAAATATTTTATTTAAATTCATTGGTCAACCAACCAATAACCTTTTATTTTCACAATCGCAGATAAAAAATCTCGAGATAATTATGTCTTACTTAGACTACAATTTTAGTCACATTTAGGATCTCCCAGACAAAATTAAAGTTTTCCTCAACATAACATTTATTCAACCCTTAGTATTTAGATAAGAGGCAAAATGTTGGATTTTCCTGCAGTGTAAGAAATGTCACTCCACCTTACTTTACAGAAGGATGCAGTCAAATTTATCAGAGAGACTTCCAAATCTTCGCTTTGTTTGCTGCACACATCTGTTCGTTATGACTTTTATAATCATAGTTGACTCACATGTAAAGGTGTGTATCCGAAAGAGTCGCGCACGTTGACAGTGGCACCGCTCTCGATGAGTTTAGCCAGAATATTGTCTCGGCCTGCGCGCGCCGCTATGTGCACGGCCGTCTGCCCGTCTTGGTTCTTGGCGTCGCGGCTTCGGTAACCGCACGCCAACATTTGGGAAACGATGTTGAAGTCACCGGCTTCAGTAGCTCTGAATAACGATAACATTGCAATTGTAATAATCAGAATGCATAGAGCAACAGGGCGGGAAGGGCAGTAGTTGTACACATCTTTCCCTTCTGTCGCATTGGGCATGCAAACAGCACCTACATGTGTGCAGAATTTTGCAGTGGTGTGTTGCGTCATTGTTTATGTGTGCATGTCGTAATTACAGTTTTGTTTTTTCGCAAGTACGTTAAACTGCATGTATTTGCATATTTCCGCCCACCAAAAATAGCAGGATGTATTGAATAGTATTATGCTGCTATGGCTACTTCCTTCTATGTTACAAGGCAATGATTTAAATTTTGCCTGTTGTTTACATAGATATATTCATTGTTATCATTGTTTCTATAAGTTGTAATTCCTAGATTAATGTTAAAACACTGGCATTTTTAAAATTAATCAACTGCTCCAAAAACTTATCTCCTTCAAAGTTATAGCAGGGCTTAATGAAGGTTGTTATCTTTACCAATGTTATGAAATGTTGTAAGTAATCATAACTAAACAAATACATTTGTATAAGAAGAAATAATAAGTTAATGTGATTCATTAGATAATTTAAGTAGTGAATCACCATTTCCAAACACAGATGTCTTTGTTAAATGGGCTCTATGATGAGCACTACTTACATTTTCAAAACATTCATGAGTATGACTAATAGTAAAGTAATTAGCATATCAATTAATATCAACATTGTAAGAACAGAATAATCCACATATTTCTAAATAATGTTTCAATATTACCATTGAAAAAGGTTAAATAAATCATCATAATTGATATAATAAAATTTGTCCATTAAAAGATGATATTTTGATTGCTTAAATAATAAAATAATTAAATATATAAAATTATATTATTTATTAATTTGGGTAACCCATGAACTCTAGGTAGGATACCAATTCAATTTTAAAGAAAATAATCAAAATCGTAATTTATTAAATAGTTGGTAACTATTCAGTAATATTAATGAGTTGGACTTATGTTTAAAATATTAACTCTCATATCTTTTAATAGTAGAGATTAAATCATATGGTATAGTCATAAGCTCATTCCTTGACAGCTGGTATTATATTCAGAATTTTATTATTCACACAGATGTCACTAGAAACATGTTATGAGTTTAAAGATGAAAATATTCAGATCACTGTCATTGATCCACTTGAATGTTAATGTTTACAAGGGTATGTATTGTTCTCTCAATATTTATCCAATAAATGCCTCCACAATGCATTCAACAGGAAATCATCAATAAAGTTGCTTGTGTGTTTGTATGGATGATTGCTTAATAGTGCCTACAATACAAGTAAAACTGCTGAGTTCAGTAACCTTTGAACTGTTATGTTGCAATTGAGAAAATATATACTTGTCAATTTATTAATTCACAACTTCTACACTTATTCCTTAAGACTAGAGGCATTTATTTTGACTTATCCAAAACTAAACGCAATCACACTGAAAACGCTAAACAGATGTAGATAAAATTTGGCATCTAGGAAGAGAGAACATATAAAATCCTCTAATAAATAATTAAACAAATTCTCTAGCCACAAAACTCTAGATGTAGAAGAGAAGCTAGTTCACCTACTAATGTATCATATACATTAGTAGGTGAACTAGCTTCTCTTCTACTAATCATTTAAAACAAAATATAAAGAAATGCTACATAGGCAAAGCAATGAACGTAATAGTAGGTAGAAAGTAGATTGGTCAAAATTTGTTTAACACATAAGAAAAATTAGGGCCAATTTGGGTTGTTGCCACTTTAATAGAACTTCCTACTTGAAATGATACAATCATTATTAACTGTTAGTAGCAATAAAACATTGCTTCATTTCCCACAAGGCAAAGACATTTTTATAAAACTCGTTCAGAAGTTAGCCATGGGTGCGGTATCGAGTCCCATCTGCTGCCTGGTCCGCGTGTTTTTTTTTTCTAGTAAATTTTTAATATAACCAGTTTTAATGGGTTAATGCACAAACTTTATTTATTTATTGACATTGCACAGCCTTTTCAGGTCTGTTTCGTCAAAATGATGACGATGCATTAACCCGTTGAAACTAGTTTTATTTAATGAGGATGTGCGTGAAAACCTAAGAAACAAATAGTAAACTTATCTTTAGAATGAAACATCTAGCAATTAAATGCTTAAAAATAAAAACATAACTGGTTAAGAGTTGAAATTGGAGTTGTATCAAAGATTGTCTATGAGAATCCAGTATTTTTAATTTATTTATTTACATTTAATAATGAAATCCTCCCCTACCAGATCTTTCCAGGGGATTGCTAATTAGTAAGAAAAAAGTTTAATTATAATTCTTACCGATGCAAGAGATTTGTAGTCCCTTGAGTACGAGACTCGTGAGGCGGGGGCTGCCCTTTGCACACAACAGAAAGACGAGTGACCAGGCCATTAGAATCTCCACGATAATGCTGTATTAATGTGTCCAACCCATGAACTGTTGTGTGTTCTTCAATAGAGAAAAATGCATCTTCGCCATGTCTTCGAATTTGATAGTGAACTACCTCTCCCTGTTAGATTAAAAAGCTTAAACTTAGATTAAAGCATCTATCAGATATGCTTATAATAAAAAAAATATAAGTTTAAACTAGTATTGTCATATTAGCATTTGATTACAAACAAAACAAGTAAGGATTCTATTGTTACTTTTGAGGTTATTTCAAGTTAACTTTATTATTAAAATTACCTGATGTAACACTGACAGAACATAGTCTCCAGGTGAGGTATTGCTCTCACGTACTAAAAAAACACCATCCTCGCCCTCTGTAATCAAGAAAAACATTGTCATAAAAGATCATTCAATTCAAGTAAACAGGATATTTCTAATCTTATTTACCTTCTTTTAGAAGTTTTTCTGCAGTATCTCTTGATATTTTTCCGTGGAACCAGTTAACATTATCCTCTCTATTCATCCTCAACAAAAAAGAGTTTGTCTGAAAAGTTAATTAAAAACTTTGTTCAACACACTTCTGCAAGGTGTCAGATGACATAAAAGTTTTACTTTAAAACTTCTTGAGCGTTTCACACCAGAATTTCTTGTTTATGTACTTATAAATAAATTAAAAGTTATGCTTATCACTTTCATTTTAAAATCATAGAAGAAATTAAACGTATAAGAATTACAAACCAAATACAATCAAATCAAACTACACTATCGCTATCGCCATGTTTTTTTGCTCTATTTCATTCACTCATAACACAATACACGTTTGAATAACCGGCCAAGTTTAAAATACAGTACAGATAGACGTTGAACACGATAAACAATGTAAGTAACGTAAGTTGAAAAGAGATAAAAAGCATCTACCTGTTTTTAAACGTTTCCGTATAGTATTGTAGACGTCACGCACTACACTGTTCAAATAGGAGACTGATAAGATTTGTATGATGATTCATAAATACTAAACGCAATTAATTTTGGATGCATTGTCAATTGTTTTATTATAAAATAATTATTTTAATATTTCTTACCTTCAGTAATATGAATGACGTCATGGTTGTTAACATGTTAATCAACTTCACAACTACCAAAACATTACAAACTTCTATCAACTTTATGTAGTAGGAAAGTTAATTATTTTTCCAGCGTTTATACACTCGCATTTTTTGAGAATATTGTTGTATTTATTTTACACGAATTCTTTTAATAAAATTGTGGCGGCAAGCGGAGTGCGTCTAGCAAACAACCGGCAGACAGGCGCGGTATCCCCGACTCTGCCTTCCAACGAATGACTCATAGCAAGGTCAATTCCGAGAAATGAATCACCAACCAACGTACTCAGTTCTACAATGGTTTAAGTAGTACGCATTCCCTCACAACACCAGCTCATTATTCTACCAAAATATATCAGAAATCTGGATACCTACATACATGTCTGACTAACATGGTCTGATAGCAGAGATACCCCCATAAATTAAAAACAAAGGATATCTAATTTTTTTTCACAGAATAAGGAAAAGTTGTACTTAGCACTTAGATAAAAACAAAAAGGGTTTTTTTGCTTTAATCTATCTAAGACTTATATGTATTTAAAATTTGGGCAATAGTAACAAAAATACACATTTACTTACTTTTAATATGTCTCTCTATTATTTATTTGCTATAGCATTGCAGTATTAGAAAAGTCTTACGTTTTTAAATAGGTAGGTACGTATGTATCAAGGAGCTCGATGGCGCAAGTGGTTAGCTCGTTCGGTTGCGATCGTTGAAGTTAAGCAACTTTCGCAGGACGGATGGGTCGGTCATTGCATGAGTGACCAAAAATTTACTATTTCTAGCTCCTCCGTGCTTCGGAAGGCACGTGAAGCCGTTGGTCCCGGCTGCATCTGCAGTCGCTAGCACCCACAAATCCGCACTGGGCCCGCGTGGTGGGTCATGGTCCAATCTCTCTATTCTATAAGGAAGCCTGTGCCCCAGTAGTGGGAACAATAATAGGATGATGATGATTATGTATCAAGGAATTTAATTCAGTAGCCTACTGCTACTGGCTGCAAATATTTCTCTACTTTTAATGTAGACAGTAGCAACATTTCCATAAAATATTTCGATAAAATTACAATTAAGTATAAGTACCTACTTGCATTCTTTTTTTGTGATACATAGATCAAAAAAACAAACGTTACGATATAATCCCAAACATTTCTATCGTTCAAAAAATCTTGGACTTGATTACTATCAAGCTCAATTATAATATTATTTCCTTTGCTCATTAGTCTATTTTGAAAGCTAGTTTTAAATCTATGCATAGAAGATCGGCAATACTATCAGGAGTAAATTTATTTTAAAAAATAATGCTTTTTCCCTAAATAAGCTTTTGTGGTTTTCTCACTCAATCTAAACATTGGGACAGCAAGGTTATTTGGTTCTAATATATAATTTACAAAGATAATAAAGATGCAAGACCGTACGCAATCTATTTAAATTAAGACTCAATTAACATGAGAACTGTCTCTATACTGTAGATTTTTGATAAAGAGAGCTTGTTGAACTGTATGAAGATAAGTAATGATTGAAACCAACAAATGTTTTATTTTTCGATTTCTATTACTTTATAAGTGATGAAGTAAATAATATGAAAAGCTAATCTTCGCCGAAACCAAATTTCTTCTTAAGTAAGTCTAAAAGCAAATGACGTCAATATTCTTATCATATTAAAATTACTCGTAAATAACAAAAACAAAGTATTCTTATTTTGTACTGTAAGTAAGGTAACTATGTACAATAAAGTAGGTATAGTACGTAAGAAAACAATTAAAAGTAATAATTGCAGAGCTTTAAATAAGGTAGGTAAATAGCTAAGTATGTAAGTACATATTATTATGTACCTAGGAACTTAGTTATAATAAAGACACTGGTGGTGGGTGACTCATGTACTTATGGTTGCTTATTGCAGTCTCACAAATGAGATTTTGTGTGAATCATCTTTATAAGATATTTCTCAATTCATGCACACAATGGTTTATCGTAATCTGATCTCGGGGTTGGTATTTAATACTAGTTTCTTGAGCCGAGCTGTTGAATGGTCGTAGCAGAAATATCAACTCGGAAAAGGTTTTCATCGGTCACTGTATTAATCAGAGCCTGATTTACCCACAGGCTAATAAGCCTGACCTAGAGCTTAGGGCGCAAGGACCAAGGTGGCGACCGGCGGGTGCGGCGCTGGGCTGAGACATAATAATATTGGGTAATTTTGCGATAATACGGGCGTTAAAATTAAATTCCTGCGCAATACATATTTAAGATATTGAACATTAATAGATTTTAAAAAATAGTGTTGGAATTATTTGGTTCCTTTCATTTACCTACTTATAGTCTAGGGCTGATGCCTTTGAAAATCGTAAAAAGTGAAAAATACTTATTCGGAAGAGGATACATAAAAAAAGAGGAAAAATATATAACGGGCGATTTGAGGTCGGGTAGGGTCACGAATTTCGAGAAAATTACAACTATCAAAAAAAATCTATGGCAAAATCATAGCAGTCAAAAGATCCACAACTTTACAATTTTTTTTCAAATAACCTAAAAATATCTAAAATAAAAATAACCGACCTTTTGTTTTTTTACTATTATGCCCCACAAAAAACTATAGATTTTCTTTCGATAGGAGTTGTAATTTTCCCGAAAATCGCGATAAACCTTTTAACGAAAAGAAAGAAAGTATTTGAAAAAAAAATACTTTTATGTCGGGAGATTATTCGCTTGAAAATAAGGTAGGTAACTTCTTCGATTATAATAATATCAATATAACAGGAAGAAATATATTTGTAATTGAAAATTTTAAGTATGTTTAGGAACACATTAAGGTAAGTTTTCCCCAAATTTCGTGAAAAAAAAATATTTTTGGGAGATAATGATAAAAAACCAAAAAGTCAGTTAGTTTAGTTTTTCACAGATATTATTACGTTACTTAAGTTGTAGTTTTGCCACTTTTAAATGGTAAGCTCCACCATTCCCGACCTCTAATCGATCGTAATTTATTTTTTCTCTTTTTTTAATGTGTTCTCTTAATTTTAGTATGGGTTAAATTTTTTGCTTTAAAAATTATCGACCCTGTTCTATTACTGACAGCATGCTTCAATTATGTCGCAACTGGATTTCACAAATAGGAGAAATAAAAATACTAACATCAGACAAGGAACAAAAATTTGCTGCGCCTAGTTTATAAAATAGCATCCAAATAACCAAAGATGCAAGTGATGTTGTTCATAATTTTATTCCTCCTTATTGTAGTTATAGTATAGTATAATTGAAAATTATTAATACAATGTACTTATGATTCTTCATAGTTCTTTCTTTCACTTCTAAATAAGCAAGGAAGAATAATTGAATATAATGTGCTGGAGAAATATTAGATATTGCATCCAAAAATATAAGCTTGAACTACATAAAATGTATGAAGCGACGTATGACATAACATACTTATTTCTTATTTATAATCTACTGTACATAAATATATCGTAAGAAATTACATAGCAAGAAATATTATACAAAAAAAAAATTTGGTAAGTATCTATAATTTGTTCTATGTTTGTATATTTGACTCATAGGATTGACCTTGCTTTGCCAAACCTTGTGTTGGCAAGTAGGAATTCCTATCTGAAATTACTTAGTGAGACAGGAATTGATCATTCTTAGTGCATGGTCTCTGAGTGCACTTATATCACTGTTTAGAAAGCATTCGCAACAACAGTGGACAAACCAGTCCCAAAGTTTGTTTACCTCACGATCGTAATGTTTATTTACTTTCATTCGACAACCAGCGCGGTTTGCTTGATGCCTCCATTCCACTTGCGCTCAGCTAGGTTGTGTTGTTATGCAACCGTTTATATAGCTATGTCATTCATTAGACTTGGATGTTGAAGACTACACTCTGTTTTCAAGTGTTTGAAATACGCAAAGCGAAATGATTACAATTTTTAGATTTCAAGATTTTGCTTAGAAAGAAACAGTACTTAGTAAACTCATTCTTATTGACGAGGGAATAGAGTTTCTTGACACTTTGACGGTATTTTTAATAGTATGTCATATAATTTAAGAACTTATAAACATTCTTATAAACAGTAGTGCTCACTTAAAGATCATTTATTTCTGTTACTAATGTAATATCGACTTAAAAAAAATTACAACCCTGATTAGTCGATATTCATCATCATACATACATCATGCAACGACGAGTAATCAGGGTTAAAAAAAAATTAAAGTCGATGTAACATTAGTAGCAGAAACAGGTATCTTCAGATGGGATTTAGGAATAAGGTATCTAAATGGTCTCTCATATAAGTATAGCAATTTTATTGTTCCTTAACCACATCATGATTATTATTTTACTACCTACTTACTAGCATAATTAACTTACGAATAATACCATGATCGTGAACCCTCCAGTAGCTTCTATTCAAAGAACTGACGAGATGCTTCTATTCGTTTAGTATGTAAAGAGCGACCAAAAGTCAAGGCCGATTAAAATTAATGATGGAAGCGACCAAAAGTCATTGCCGATTTAAACATTTTTTTATTTGCCCTAGATTAGACGTTTGGCCATACATAAAGGGCTCATCAGGTACCATGAGTACTTTTGCATTATTTCTTATGGAGTAGGTACTTCACAAGGTGCAAGATTGCCACCCTTATGTTATTATGTCGCACTCGAGTATATCCCAAAATCAGCGCTTAGGCTCCCCTACTAATACTCTTCCCTAAAAATAATTGGTTAGTGCTTTGGGAGTACGCTAGTGTTAGGGACACAGACTATAATATTACAATGCAGCCAGTACCTCTACAAAGTCTGATATACGAGTAGTACATTACAGTAGGGGTGTCCACTCTGAAAAAACATCGATGTATTTTTTGATTCGATACATCGCAACTATACATCGATGGCATTCGACGCATCGGATGAAAACATCGATGTATTTTAAACATCGAGTACTTTTTTTGAAATTTTATTACAAAACCCAACTGTTGTGGAAAGTGACCCATTTCAAGAGAGATCATCTTTTCATAGCAAAAATTTTTACTATTGAAGTTTATGAAAATACCTAATCCATAATTTTATTATAGTTTAGATATTAATATTTCATAAAATAATAGAATTAACTCCTTTCATAATGAGTAGGTAAAAGTAAATACAAGTAAAAGCCATGTATCAGAAAAATCTGTATTATGTTTTACAAGAGATCAAATTAAAAAACACTAAATAACCCGCAAAATTTATGCTGTCTGTCAAAAGAATATTAGAAACATACTTCAATCTT